GCTGGGAAACCGCCTACTAATTCATATATTTGGTAAATTTATTTCTCTCATGGTCTGGTGAGAGAGATAGGGTAGTCCCATATACATCTTTCTGTGTATAGTGCTTGTAACTTTACGAAGAATGAGCCAAATTTCTTATCATTTTGATGATTCCAGAACCTTGCAGATGCTAGATGCTAGATGATCGACCTTTTCTGATCGATTCCACAACGTTTCTTTCACAATGCAATCGCATGACCATTACTGGTCTTTACCTTTAATTTTTCGTTCAATTATCCCTTCATTGAAACCCTTCACTGGACACGTCCCTTCTGATGAATTCTCTCGCCATCATTCAATAAAGACCTCTGACTGAACGTGTCGATCGGTATCCGTATCGAAGGGGGGGGGGGGGGGCTGGCCCTCCTCGGAAAATGAAATGCGAATTAACAAGGCTACTAATTAGTGTGCGGGAGCTGGTCCATGCGTCTTCTTTTCTCATCCTATTCTCCCCACTCCCTTTCTTTTTCATATTTTGTTGGCGGTTTTCTTTCTTCTTGTTTGATGCCCCCCCCCCCACTCGGGTGGGGAAGCCGGAGTGGGGGGGGGGGGAGTATGCTTCACCTCTTCTTGTTCCCTAATGAACCTTCCTCACCAGGTCAGGTAGAGCACCGTTTCCTAAAATATATTTCTAACAGGAAGACAAGTGTTATCCCGTCCATATCCTGCCAGTCATAAAAAGGGGATGGTGGGAGCCCCTCCCCTTCATCAAAACAAAAGATAGTTGGGAGTGGAAGGGTAACGCCATTGTCTATTCAATTTTTGATTTAATTCAATTTCAAATCAAATATTTGTATTGATTATAATTCAAACAAATAGGATCATTCTCAACTATTTTTGGTTGTGACAGAAGGATAACATAAATCAACATCATAATGTAGCCACAAAAAAAAAAATGCAAAATTGCTGTCAAAGTTACATGTACAATAATCAGGAATAACAAAAATCAACGGTACTACCATATTTCTCTTCCGAAATATTTTTCAGAGATAAAAATGAATTCGTATTAATATTACAGCCTTTTTTCAGCGAGATAAAGAAAAGGAAACAAAACACAATATGTAAATATAAATTTGTCAATGATTTTTCGCCTTCAGCCCCCCCCCCCTCCCTCCACTCGCTCTTAAAGCAAACTATGATGTGTTGCACCTTGATTTGATATAAGTAGCATATCCAGAGGCTGAATACCTCGGTTTTATGCATTTATAGAACCACTGGCATTATTATCAAATTAGGTGAGGACAAGTTGCTCATGCTAATAATAATAATACTCGGTTCTTGTGTATAGCGCAATTGCCTTCCTGTGTCTAAAGCCTATATTTAGCTGTCCTGATGGAGGCGTTAAAGCTTCTATAGGAGATTAATTCATATCGGTACCCGTTTAATTCACCTGGGTCTAGTGTGACGAATGTAAATATATTACCTTTTTAATTAGTTATTATTTAGTGGTATAGCTGTAAAGAAAATTTTAATTGTAGATTATATTTGAACAACGTCAATATAAACGGAAAAAAAACGACATACCTCTCCTTAAAGAGAAGGTTCATTGATTTAAAAAACTAACTTTAATGTCATTATTGCAAAGGTGACACTTTGATTGGCCAAGGTTATCAAAAGCCAATGCTTAGAAACATTTGAAGTAATGATTATTAACAATTACAAAACGCTTAGATACAGCCCTGACATAGCACCTGAAAAGCTCTCCGGTCGCTGCTGAGATATGACGTCACATGTTGAACATGATGTGCACAAGCAGACGATGTCCCATGACATCTCACACAATTTCAGTGCATGTTTTGTCATATTTTCTTCAGTAATTTCTCTTACTTCAATGCCCTCAGGCGAAATTTTTAAACTATTGCCTCACTCAAAACCCTGTGCATGGTATTATTTTGATGAAAAATGCAAGGATTAACAAAAAAAGGAATCCGTCGCTTGTAAACAAAATAAGACGCCATTGTATTTTCAGCTGCACACACCGCGGCATGTTCGGCGTTTCAAGAGGGAACAAATGACGTCCATGCTATCATTCCGGAGGTTTTTTAATTTGAAAGAGTGGTTTCTTTGATTGTTCATTAACTCCTATCCTGTGTATTTACAAACAAAAGAATTTAGTTATCAGAATGGGGGTCATATCCCTTTTTGAATCGTGTAAGATTCCATCACATTTACATGTATATAGACTAAACTCATTATAATTTGAGAAATAAAAGCATTGCAATTATGTTCATTCTTTATGGGATGTCGTCTGCTTGGGCAGGGTTGGTTCATATTGTGACGGCATTAAAACATCGTTATTTTCAGGCGAATCTCTCGCATATCCCAGATGCTATGGAGGTTGTTTGATTTGTATTTTTATAAATCACCCGATATGTAGTTAACCTAAAACTTGCATGATGGCCATCTGTTAGCATACCAGTTTCTAGTAATACGATATTTGCCATATTTGTGATTTTCTATGAACCCGCACTTTTAAGTAACTCGGTAACATTGTATCAGATTCTGAAACAAAATCCTGGATTTAGCTCATGCTGCAATGATAATTATAAACCTTTAGGTTAGTCAGGAACCCCATGACTATTACAAGCCGCTCGCCTGTCTGATTACCAAGATATTTATGATTGGAAATCGAAATAAAATTTCAGTTCTCCTAACGGTTTTCATAACATTACAGTCTATTGGGGGGGGGGGGGGGGAATGAGTATGGTAAAACCGGTCACTCAAAGATGTTTACTTTTTTGAGGCACTTGATGATCAGTTTGAAGCGCAATCTTTTTAGGGCTTCAATTTTATACCATATCACATACACTGATAACACATAGTGTCATGCATCTCAGATTGAAAATTGTTAAAATGATGCCTTTAGCCCGCCCATGCAAGGCCACTGGACAGGTGGTTATCTCATCAACTCAGTTCTCAATTAACATAAGAAAAAGAGGATCATGGGGGACCAATGGTCACCGATTAGGCATTATTTTATATATAGAGGGAGCAAGTAGCTACAAGTAGGACAGTGTGGCTGTAAGTAACCTTTGTAAAACAACTATGTCGTCATAGGCTTCGTGTCTATCGACCAAAAAAAAAAACAGTGATTATTTTTGTTTTGTACGTTGAAGCATCGGATAATTGACAACTTATATGGCATCGCGCATCAGATCATCCAGATTTTAAAAATAGGGGAAGAGCAACCACGTCGAGAGTTTATAAATAGGTTAAAACAATCAAGTGGTGATTACTAACCTTTTCTCACTTCATTCATCCTTGAAGTGAAACATCAACTGCCTCCCAAAGCATCATCAAAAGGTGTCAGTTTTTTGGAATGATGTTTAGAAAGAATAAAAAGGGGAAAACTAAAGAACGGCAGAGGCAACTTGACTATTAGTTTATCGTCTAGATTTTGATTTTGTTTTGTTTCGTTTTTTCCTCGGGTGAAACATCAACTGCGTCCCAAGGAATCATCATCAGGTGTCAGTTTTTGGAACGATGTTTAGAAAGAATAGAAAGGGGGAAACTATAAAGATAGGCAGAGGCAACTTGACAATTAGTTTCTCGTCTAGATTTTGATTTTGATTTTTTTTTTTCGTTCTAAATTTTTGCTTGTTTTTTATTTGTTATGTGATTTTGTTTATTTGTTGTTTATTTTTTTCCAAAATAAAAAATGGATAGGAGGGCGTTCATCGTGATGTGATTTCAAATTCGATATAATTACCGTACATGCAACATTATCTTGATATATCTTTGTTTAACATTCCTTTTTTCTTGCATGTATTAAATTTGCTCAAAACACAGTGAAACTGCATTATATTCCTTTTATTTTTCGTTTTCTAGCTTTCTTTACATTCTGCTTGATTTCATTTCAAAATAAAAAGTGTCAAAGGTTTGTTTTTTAAATTGGAGGCAGGTCGAACAAGAGATAAAGAGGATGGACGGGAAATTATATGAATCAATTGTATTTGTCCTAACAAAATGAGTTATCTGCCATCCCCATATGACATAGTTATAACTGTTATGATTGTGGCGCTAATTATTTAGGGCTCGCTAATTGGGCAGTAGTATTCATTAGTTGATTGACTGTTCATCTTCTTAGGGAATAGGAGAAACAGTTATGCCGGCTCTGTAAACATGTGGAATTGTTTGTGTTTCATGACATAGCCTCCTCTATTTCAATAATCGTCATACACTTCCTCGACGACCCCCCCCCCCCTCTCCTCGCCGCACATGTAAGCTTATCCACCATCAATAATGTTATCGCATGTAGGTATTGAAAGTCATGCTCCGCCTGAAGTAACGCATGTGCCTTAGTTATAGGTACATCACGTACATAATTACGTGGGAGGAGTACATGCTATCCGCTAGAAATAAATCTAATCGAAAACAACTCTGTTACGATTAATGTGCGAGTGATTAACTCCTTTGCGCTGGCGTAGCTGCGTGGAGTAAGGGGCATGTTACTTATTTATTTGTTTACTTGTTTATTCATGCATTTGTTTTCATCTATTTATATATTTACTTACAAACTCAAATAAAAAACGTAAAATCTTATATCTACATTTACGGTTCATTTCAGGTATTTAATTATAGTTTTATTTTTACTGGGTATAGCGATTTCAGGTACAAAAATGCTTTCCACAACGGCCCATGTACATATTTAAGATTATATGAGAGGTGCACATGCTAGCCAAAATAAATATAGAACGTTCACTTACGTCCCAAGAGCGTTGTGTGCTCTTTGTGATATTGTTTAAGTACTTGTTTTGCAGTAGATGTCTTATTTTTCAGGAAATTTCTTGAATATTAATATCAACGTTACCCCTCTTCTTTAGCAACATACCCTCTAGCAATGCCTCCGACCTTTAACTTTTAATAATGTACAGATTAATTTTATTCATTTTTTATTTATTTTTTAATTTTTATTCGTGATTCTTATTACCTATTTTCTCTCTTTCTATTGTTTCTTTCAGGAAGGGGGTCAGATTGTCCCGACGGACCAACCACCATGTCCGGTCAGGACTCGTCCGGCCATCGTCTACAGGGATTGCTTATCGAGGGTAAGTTGAGTCGGAGACGGGTTTGGGAGGGGATGGGGGCGGCACAGCCGGGCGTGCCCCTTTAAACAAAATCAATGTGGCATATCTAACTACACGAAATAAAAATGTGCCCCTTTAGTGCTTATGCGTCTTTTAAAAAGGAACCATCAAATGTGATACATATTTATTTCTTGCTAATCAGATAATTTTTCGGTTTACAGTCCCCCCCCCCCCCCCCTGCGCCCCCACTCTTTTTTCACACAGTCCTGGATCCGCACCTTAAAATATGGGAGAAACCCCGTGTACATTTTACAAGTGTTTTGCGACAGCTCACACTCCTGTTGTCATATTTGTTTCTTCATTTTTTTTCTGTCTCGCTACTTCTACTATTTTAATTGATTATTAGTATCATCATCATAGTTTCTTACTCCCTTTCTGTGAATAAAGACAAAATGCGAACCGAGAATAAGCTAGGTAGGAAAGAGGAAAACGATCCCAAATTTGATATTGATGTGAGATATTTATGGTACCGGCAAAACAAAATGGCATTAAAGTCGATAAACAACAAATCTACTGTTCCATAATGTATCGTTTGAAGCAGGATTACGATTATCAGGTTTATAACTGTAATTTCCTCTTTCGGTTTATGGTTTCTAGTTAGTTTCCATCAATAAACCAATACAAAAATTGTATATTACTCTACCCCCTTCTCTGTTGTTCTCCCCCCCCCCCTCTCTCTCTCTCTCTCTATCTCACACACACTCTCCCTCTTGCTGTCTACATGGTATATGTCTTTGTCTCTCCTCCTCCTCCTCCTCCTCCTCCTCCTCCTCCTCCTCCTCCTCCTTCTCCTCCCCTCCTCCTCCTCCTCCTCCTATTCCTTCTCTACGCCTAAACTCTCTCCCCCTCTCTATTTATTTATCTCTCTCTCTCCCATTCCTCTTCATGTTGCCTCCCTTTCCCTTACTCCAATCATCCATTCTTTTCCCATCATCTCTCTCTCTCTCTCTCTCCCCTTCTCTTTCTCTCTCCCCCTCTCTCTCTCTCCCCTCCCCTCTCTCTCTATCTCACACACACTCTCCCTCTTGCTGTCTACATGGTATATGTCTTTGTCTCTCCTCCTCCTCCTCCTCCTCCTCCTCCTCCTTCTCCTCCCCTCCTCCTCCTCCTCCTCCTATTCCTTCTCTACGCCTAACCTCTCTCCCCCTCTCTATTTATTCATCTCTCTCTCTCCCATTCCTCTTCATGTTGCCTCCCTTTCCCTTACTCCAATCATCCATTCTTTTCCCATCATCTCTCTCTCTCTCTCTCTCTCTCTCTCTCTCTCTCCCTCTCTCTCTCTCTCCCCTCCCCTCTCTCTCTATCTCACACACACTCTCCCTCTTGCTGTCTACATGGTATATGTCTTTGTCTCTCCTCCTCCTCCTCCTCCTCATATTCTTTCTCTTCGCCTAACCTCTCTCCCTCTCTCTCTCACCATCTTTATCTCTATATATTTATCTCTCTCTTCCATTCCTCTCCCCCTCTCTCTCTCTCTCTCTCTCTCTTTCTCTCTCTCTCTCTCTCACTCTCTATCTCTCTCTCTCTCTTCAATTCCCACCTCGGGTTTCCTCCAGGAAATATGAAAATTCTAAAATCTATTTTTAAGTCCATAAAACCATACATCTAACAACAAAACTTACAAATCCCCGATGGTTTCAGTCTAGACTATTCTAGTCTATTTTATTCGAAACTTCGTACCTAAACCAGTTTAGCCAACCCCTGGCCATAGTTATGTTACATTTAATACGTTTATTCGTCAATGTTTCGGTTACATACTGTGTTTTTATGTCTCTATATAATATGTTTGTATATTTTAGTCTCAATTCTTTTGTCCAAACAGGGTACAGTGCAGACAGCAGGAGATTTTAATGTACAGAAGGATATTGAAGAACTTCACAAAGCGTTTAAAAGTAAGTATAGTCTGGTGAGCACGAGAAAGACGTAACTCGAAGATTTGTTTTAAAAAGGCTTCAACTTTTAGTATTGTTGTAAATAGCGGCCTTAAATATTCGTTTTTTTTCTTAAATCCAATACATTTAGACATTGACAGATTTAAGAGTCAGTGAACTTCCACAGGTCACATTACTTACACTGTTGCCCATATAAAGCCCCACTGCACTACATACAGCTACTTGCGCCCTCTATATAGCAAACAAAGCCTAATCGGTGCCCGTTCGTCCCCATGATCCTCTTTTTATTATGTTATTTGAGAGCTGATTTGATGAGATAACCACCTGTCAGTGTCCTTGCAGAGAGGCCTAATACCTCCTGGCCAAACTAGTGCAGACGGGCTTTAAGTTGGAATAATCAAGAGTTACAGAGATTGATCAATACGTTATGACAAGATATATATGTTATCTATCAAGAATGCACCATATTGACGCAAGTACTTCATAGCATATAGATAAGAAGACGTTATTCCAACTTTAGGGCGGCAGCGTATGTTTATTATTGCAAGATTTCATTTTAATGATATCTTGACAACTATTCTGGAGAGTTAAATTGCAATTTTTGTTGAGAATAGTTTGATAACGTATAGGCCTAAGCTCAGAAGTGAATAGCAATATGAATTCTGCATAAGCAATTACCTAGACAAATTCTCAATGAGAAAGCACAAATGCCCATTGCGCATGACTAATCATTCAATGACGCAAGACTGCATGCGTCAGCAACTGACGCTGTCTTTGACGCACTATGTGAGAGTATTACCGTACACAAGATGAATGCAAAAATGAACAATACAAATTTGGCTTTAGATTACTGGTGTATCACTGTTTTGCCTTGAGGCTTTATTAGCGTAAGTAATAGCGCAAGCGGATTAATGACGCCTCGTGCAAACTTGACGGACATAAGAATACACATGCAACCGAAATGACGCTTCGTGCAAACTTGACGGACATAAGAATACACATGCAAGCGGAATGATCCTTCTTGCACAGCGGACATGACGGGCAACACTATTATACAAGCGCCAAGAAATCAGCATGTTCATTTCTAATGTAAAATGTGGAATCGAAGAGCTGGAGATCGGGTCACCGTCTCACAAAACCGTCATAAAAGTACAAGTTTGCCGACAACCCATTGGAACGCATGTATTAAATTTAACACGCATTTCAATGGGATGTCGGTGGACTTGTACTTAAGACAGTTTCGTGCAACGATGCCCAGGTCCTTTATTGATTCAGTCTTGGCTCGACGACCCCTTATTACGGCTGTAAAACCTCGGCCTATTTCTCATTATTCTCCTTCATAATACGCATATTTAATATTACTGGATGCCGCAATGTTAGATCGATTCGTCCGTCGTTCGCCTCTGTTGATGGATATTAAGTTTTCATATTTCATAAGTTTTCATATTTCATAAGGTTTCATATTTCATAAGTTATATGAACATAGCAAGCATAATGAAGCTAACGTTCATGGGTTCGGATGGCATAGGGTAGACAGTGGCGGATTGGTGGGGAAGGAGCAAGGGGGAGGGGCATACCGATACAAATTAAATCTCTGCCCCTAAAATGTCCTTCGTCAATAATGTTGTGCTACAAAAGGCACCTTTTAAACTAAAATGTATCGAGCTTGTGCCCGCTTGTTTTGTGAGAGAATACAGAAGTACTTACCTTTTCGCTCCCCCTCCCGTTTTCAAAACGGTTTCCTTAATGTGTTTTTAATGTAGTTGGAGAAATAAAGATTCCCTTTTCACGAAAAGAAATCCCATCACATATTTGATGGGAAGACGTTTATTTATTTTTTGTGTCTGCAGGTGCGGATGACAAGGTAATCACAGAGATTCTATCGAGGCGGACAAATGAACAGAGACAAGTCATTGCGAAGGCGTATGAGGAGAAATATAACACGGTATGAATTATTTTCTATCTCTGTTAATGAATTTCTCTCTCTACCCTTTCCTCTTCCAACCCAATCTATAGGAATATGTCACCCCTCTCCTTTTCTCCCTCTCCCCCTCCACCTCTCACTCCATTTTTTTCTCTCCCTCTTATCTCAACGGCTCTCGTGCTTTACTTTCCCTTTCTCTCCCACCCCGTTCCGTCCCTCGCTGTGTCTCTATCTGTGTAATTATGTCTCACTCACTCTCTCTCTATCTATCACTATTTCCCAACCCTTCACTCCCTTCCACCCCTTCCCCATTTCTGCCTCCCCCCATATTTCTACCCGCCCCTTTTCTCCCTATTTTTGTTTCTCTTTTGTTATTTTATTTACATGTACGTCCTTACCTCCTTTTCCCTTTCTCAGAGTCACCATCCCCCTCTCTCTCCCCTCTCTCTCTCTCTCTCTCTCTCTCTCTCTCTCTCTCTCTCTCTCTCTCTCTCTCCTCTCCTCTCTGTCCTTCTCCTTCTCCTCCTCCCTCTACCTTTCCTCTACTCAGACATAAAACATGCCTCCATAATTTAAAAGATCCTTCACTGGAGGTATTAAATAATAGAAACAAGGCAGTATTCTCAATCTGAGAAACTAATTTGATTTTCGCCCTCAGCTTGCCTCTCTCTAAACGCCCCAACCATTGCCAGTTTCTATCACCAATACATGGAAACGTGATCCCTTCAATAAAGAAAACATTAATGACGGTTCGTTCATTAAACCAAAATGTGCAGTAGTTACAGACCAATTTATCGGTAGATTTTCCATGCTTTCCTGTACACGTATTGACCTTTACGCGCTTAAATGATTGGGTAAATTATGTTGAGCTTAGATTAGGTCAAACATTTCCTATTAAAATTCTGCAGCTCTTTTCACCAAATAGAATAATTTGATAGTTTAAGCGATAGTGTAGGACGTACCCTATGAAGAAAAAAAAACATTCGTGCTGATTATGTTTTTCTATCCCACTAATGATGACTAACGATATAATGATTACATTTCTTTTGTCAAGTTTTAGGAGTGTACATAAAAAGCCATTTATCAGAATATACTCTTTTCAATCTCGAGGTATTTGGAAATGTCACTGGTGCTATTATGTCATCGTAATGCCCGACAAAACTGTCATTAAAGCTCATCAGTACTAGTGTAAAGGAGGGATTAAACCACACTGCAAGGTCACTCGACAGGTGGTTATCTCATCAAATCAGCTCTCAAATAACGTACGAATAAGAGGATCATAGGGGATCAATGGTCACCGATTATGCATTGTTTGTTATATAGAGGTATAGCGCAGTGGGCATTTAAGATAATTAATCTCAATTAGCATGATTGGCTGCAAATATTTCCCTCTCATTCAAAGGACGCTAATCATGTTAAGAGGACAAATGACACCAATTACCATGGCCATATTAGGGACAGCCATTTGCAGCCCACACTATGACAGCCCAATAAAAGAAAACATCATCAGGGACCCGTTTCACAAAGCCTTTTTTTCAATGACAAATGACAAAAAGCAGTGACAAATCTGTTGATAACCAATCAGAAGTAAGGATTTCAGTAGCTTATAACAAAAACTGTCATTTGTCACTGATGACAAGTTTGGTGAAACGTCCCCCTGTTCACACTGTTACAGGATGGAAGATTAGCTTGAAAGTGTACCTCTTTTCCAGAATATGTATTGCTCTAAGAAATTAATTCTGCAGAAAATTTAGGATTAAGTGTATCAGAAACATGTAATTGTATTGGTTAATGTTTCCAATATTCGCTTGGATAGTAGAGGTGTCACCGGACTATCGATCACAAGGTCCGCGGCTCGAGTCCCATCGCGGCAAGACAATTAAAAAACAAAACAAACAAGTTTTCGAACAAACAGATAAACAAGGAAAGAAAGGAAACAGGCAATGACATCAAAATAAGACCACCCTTTCAATTTTCCGACACCAACAACAGTGAACTTTCCCACAAAAATGAATGTGGAGGAAAGGGGGTTTCCCCCGCAGCCCCCTCCCCCTCCCAAAGCAGCGCCCGCCTACGATCGTCATTGATAAATCGAGCAATGCAATTATAATTATAACCTCCACCGTCTCTTCAATACAGGATTGCATTGCATTGGATGTTCAGTTTTATTGCCTTTCCCTCACAATGGCAATTTTTTTTCTTTCTCCTTTTATTCCTTTTTTCTCCGTCCGTGGGCAATCATTGCAATCGTCGTTGTAGTGCCTTTTGTGATTGTCGTTACCAAGCCGTCTTTGTACTAACTTTTCAATCTGGCATGAATGCTCTTTACAGCGCTCTTGTGAGAACAGATCGTCTGCTCAAAGCACAAAGGGCGTTAACTCTGTATTAAAGTATACAAGTTATAGCCCTTCAAGCTCCAAACATTCGAAACCCAACCTTAGTGGCTGGATAAGTAAAGGTTACAGCCTCTGATCAAGGATAAATAAAAAACATTTGAATGTGTATTATGTTACGATAACAAACTGCAAAAGTAGTTTAAATTACTTAACATCAATTAAAATTATATCAAATATATCGTAGAGGTGTCGTGGTCTAGTGGACAAGTCATCGGATTGTGAATCCCGTGGTGCGCGGTTCAAGTCCCTAATGCGGCACTAATGTCTTTTGGAAAGACAGTTATCTCCATTTTCCCACACATGTATCCAGGTGGGGTAGATAAGTACTGGCAAGAATAATGGCAGCCATGCTCTAGATCCGGGGTAATAGTTAGTTGTGGAGCGCCAAGTTGTTTTTTTTCTTTGTTGAGGGTATTCCGGTAGCGCATACTGAGTTTAATAGCGCGTGCTAAGTTAATAGTCCACACGTTTATAGAGTGCCTGTTGCCTACTCATTTACCCTGTACAGATTATTGTAATCCTTCAAAGAAAAGAGTCCATGCAGTTTAACTACTACATTGAATTACTATCAATATCGTCTTTCTAAAACGGGGTAGGCCTATGTATTTCCCGAAATCCCGAATCTTGGGGTCTTTTCCTCAATTGTTATAGAAACTGAATTTCTGAAAATAAGTTATCATTTAATTTCTGCCAAATATATTCAGAACCTTCACGCCGAATTACAAGTGGACTTGAGTGAGCCATACCGAAAAGCAGTCAGCGGACTCCTCGAAGAACCCTTCATTTTCCTCGCAAAACATGTCAGGCACACTTTAAAGGTAAGTCAAATAAGGCTTTGTACCTTAAAGCCCATCTGTACTTGTGTAAATGAGGGATTAGTCTACCCTGCAAGGTCACATGACAGGTGGTTATCTCCTCAAATCAGCTCTCAATTAACATAAGAAAAGAGGATCATGGGCCCGGAACCAATGGTCACCGATTAGGCATTGTTTGCCCTATATAGGGCGCAAGTAGCTACATGTAGTGCAGTCCCGCTTTAAAACAAAGTTATATATACACAATATCGTAAACAAACAATTAAGTAAACACCAAACAAATACAAGGACAGTCAATTTCCCATGCTGACTAAGCGTATTTCGTTTATATAAAAAATAATAATGTAGGCCTATAGTGTTTTATTTCTGAAGGTACATTTCTATAAATATCATATTTCATGTTTGTGTTTATTTAGAGGTGTCATCAGCATAATTTACCAGGCTATCAGTATTTGATTAATGGCTGCATTATTCAAATAATGCTCGAGCTTGTGCTTATTCCAATATTTGATAATCATAACGAATCATAACTAAATCTAAAAAGACACCAACAATAAGTTTGGTTGTTTGTTTGTTTTTTGTTTTGGTTTATTATTTAATAATTCAGGCGCCTAGGTATGTTCATTTTTTTAATCGAGCCATTATGAAGCAATGAGGGGAAGCTGTAGCCTATCTATCGAACTGAGGCAATCACTACCGAAAGAAACATATTTGCTCTGTTTTTCGTAACTCGAGAATGAAAGGTGGATTGATTGAATTAGGGACTATGAAAGCTTTAATATGTCACATTCTCAAGAAACAGTTATCAGAACGAATCAATGTTTAACATTCTTGGAAAATTACAAAAGTTGGTAAGGATATGAATGATTTAGCTGTTAACTGGAAATGACTCTCTGAACTATAAATTATTGTCGTTGTCGTTACAGAGTTCGGCGCTCGCCCATAAAGACGTCCCGTTACTCGAGATTTTATACCCACTTGAACCACAGGTTAGTAAGTCTGATAAGCTGTAACAATATCTTGGAAGTAGATACTCATGGATTTGGTAAAGATGAAGTGGGGGGGGGGGGGGGGGGGGGGGGGGGGGGGGGGGGGCTAGTATTTGGAGAATGATGCAATCCAAGAGTGAAGTAGAGCTGGACATGACGAGAGAGAGAGAGAGAGAGAGAGAGAGAGAGAGAGAGAGAGAGAGAGAGAAGGGGGCGGGGCGGGGGATGTGTGTTTGAAGGGAAGGGCTGATCCGCTTCATAGCTGGGCAGCGAGGTCGTCAAATATTAATATTGTACATTTCGATGGCACGATTGCATTTTTCATTTAGATAATAACACAAAGTGTCCGATTCGTTGTTGTTGGTTACTTACTTGCTTTGCTAGCTTGCAAGAATCATAATCTAGAGAGAAAAATGATTGAACAAGACACGCCACCCCCTAAAGAAATTGTGCTCGTACGCCTTTTGGGCTGAATGAAAAAAAGCAATTGAACCACTCTGAATCGACCGTCTGGTGACCAACCAAATAACTCGAGTTATTGACACAGTCCAGTTGTTCAAAGTTTGACGTCATTGAGAAACATTCATGTTTTATTTTAGGAACAGAAATTTGACGTCATACGAGCGGAAAGGGGATACACAATTTAAATGAAGGGTCCACTTGAACACCTGTGTTTCTGCAAAACATTCCCGCTGTAGATAATACAATTATGATAGTGTAGTAAGCAGGGATCGAGGTCTGGTGGGATAAGCGAATCTCTTAGAAAGAGAAACCAATATACGTCAATAGTCTAATTTTCTTCTTCTTCAAGTTATAGCTTATACATCAGTCAAACAAATGAGACCAACACCGGACCGACTACAAACCGAACAGGGAAAATTGCATTACCACTCAATGGGTCAAAATTGGTCGGTCTGGCGTCGGTTTGAATTCGGTTTGGCAGTGTGACCGAGGTATTAGTCAAACCGCCAAACCGACTACACTACATCGGCTAATTCGATCTTTTCAATTTGGATTAATGATATTTATTTTTGTCCGGTCTGTTGTAGGGCAGTCCAGATATTAGTGGGAGATGGGAGGGGGGGGGGGTTGCCATTCATCCTAGCTACGCCACTGCAACTCTGCAAGTACTCTTTGTGATATATTATACCTGTCCTATGTTAAGAACTATGAAAATGTGTGTCATAAATAATCGTTTATTTTTTTCTTAATTTGCAGGAGGTAGATGCAATTGTACAGGCCTACAAAGAAGGTAAAAAAAAAACAATCACTCATTTTCTTTTATCAGTTTTAAAGTAAATATTTCGATGTAGCCAGCCCCTCACATACCGTGTATTCCGTTTTATAGCCGAATCAATGTCCCTTGCTACCGAAGATAGTTTCCAGATCATGAATATAATTATATTATGCCATATGAAATTCGATCTGCATTATTTTAAGATACTGTGAAATACGATTTGTGGCCTCTCAAGAATATTTATTCGTTTTTATCATATTCCTACCAATTCTCTGTACTCCATTGTCATTAAAAAGATATTTGTTTGTTTGTATGTCTGTCTGTTTGTCTGTTTGTCTGTCTGTCTCTGTCTCAGTTTCTCTGTATGTGTGTATGGTCCTCTCTTTGTATATCTGTCTCTGTGTAAGACTCTGTCAGCGTGAGTATGTGAGGTGGTGTGTATGTGTGTCTATCTTCTACTCCCCTATCTCTCTCTGTCTCTCTGTCTCTCTGTATTTCTCTTTCGTTCTCTTACTCCTCCCTCTTTTTCTCTTTCTTTCTCCTACTCCTCCTCCTCTCTCTCTCTCTCTCTCTCTCTCTCCTACTACCCCTCTCTTTTTTTCTTTCTTTCTCTCCCTCCACCTCTTTCCTTTTCCTTTCCGGAAATTATCTCTCTCCTTGGAATATATTACGTATACTACCCTTACCGACTTCATTTCATTTCATTCATTTCGTTTATTTCCATTTCCAACAAAATCAAAAAAAGTACACGGGATTGCATTGTACATAGTAATTGGTCCACAGTGTATAGCAGAGTATAACAATGCACAGCAGGCCATAACAGTGTACAACAGTCCACAGTGTACAACAGGCATATAAATGTTTCATCATATTGGTTCAAATATGTATTGTATGGTACTCATATTTACTTCTACTTAGCATTTACTTTATAAGTACTATTATTCATAATTATGTTTTTTCTTTAAGAATATAATCAGGAATTGGAGGAGGAGATTGGAAAGCAAATAAGCGGAGTATTCAAGGATATACTCATTCGGCTTGTTACCGTAAGTTTAGAAATAAATATAATTCTTATTTTCATATATATTTCATTAAATATGTCCATTATGATTCATTACCATTAGCGTTGTATGTATTATATTCATATCACAAGCTATTTTCTATGTTTGATATCATCTCCATTATTATTTGATTATTATCTCTCATATATTCTTTTGGAAAAAGTATTTATATGTAAAATGTGACGACTGTATTGGTCATGAACCCTATTAATGTTAGTCATTATATTTATAAAAAAAACATTGAGTAAGTAATCACATAATACAGTTACGGGCAAATATCGGCATGATCAGAAATCTTGAATTTACTCTTTAATGATATATAACAATAGCAAATTTGTATTTATCATGTTCATATAGATCTTAACTCAGAATACCGTCTCTAAGTTCTTAAAGTATGCAAGCGGTATGTTCGAAAGGGCATCAAATGTCATTTTGAACCAAAATAGCTGGTCGTGAAGTTTTTTAATGTTAAGCGTTTTCTTTATTTGTATTTTTTTTAAGAGACAGGGAATATATAAGTTTTTTTCATTCATTAATGTTATATTTTGTACAGGGAAAACGCAGTACACATCGAAAAGTTGACGTCCCCCAAAGGAACAAAGATCTAGAATACCTCAGAAATGTAAGTAGAAATGACAGAAAAGCATGAAAATATATGTAGGGAGCGTATAGAACATCAAAATTGATTATAAAATATTAATGATATTTATGATTGGGTCTTTATTTTTCCCCGGGTAGCCACATTAGTATTAACACTGAGAAAGAGTTCATCGTAATGGGCAGATAATAAGATACGAAATTAGCAATGAAAAATTTAAAATGGCTAACGTAACATTGATTTTTTTTTTAATTCGTAAAAGTTAAATTAGAGGGAAAATTCAAGGATAGCATTAGGCAAAAAAAAAAAAAAATGGAAAGTACATTCAACCCAATAATTTATACCGCATGAAACCTACGCAGTACTTACCACTATTACGTTCCACCCAAAATTTACATAATTTCCCGCCTCCAAAGTACTTTCAAACAATCCACATCAAATATTTGCCTGATAATAATTCTTCTCTCTCTTTCCCTGAAATGTCTGCTTCAGAATACGGCAGAACGTCTGCAATCAGCTGATGATGACGTCATTAGGATCTTCGGTAACTCGAGTTTACCGCAACTGTCTTCCATATTCCTCAATTTTGACAAGGTACGTCATAATCACGCAGTAAAGATACTATGTCCCTTTTGCAACCAACATCAAATTCTGTAGAACTTTGCAGGAAATATAAATATATCATGTATGTCCTATCTGTTATATTTAAACGTTTAATAGCAGTATCCTAATATTCAAATTATGCAAGGAAACCTGTTTACTTGCTAGACTTCACTGTCAGACACTATTGAGTGACTGACTGGCTTTTTTCTTCTTCTTTGGTGATAACATACATAAAATGAGCTGTAAAGGGTACATGAGCATTTGTCTCCATCAATAACCCACTTCTTGTAATAGCCAAAATTAAACTGATTGAATCTTTGCGCAGCACAAAACGTACAACCATACGGTGCAATTGTCTGAAAAATCAGACTATTACTTAATGGCTCTATAGCTCTTAAGTCGTTTCGACAACTAATAGTCGTTATTTTCCCACTTTCAGACATTTTCAAGCCCCCCTTTTTTAGGGAAGTTCTAAATTAGTATTATCTTTCAAATACCATTGGAATTCAACCTTTTCATTTTTTGGGGCCTGCAAATGGGACATAGTACCTTTAATAGAATAAAAAACAAAATCGAACAATATATAATTGTGATTATGATGATCATCATCGACATAATAATGATACTATTGCTTCTATTACACACTATACAAATATTACGTCTTCTACATCTACTACTATTACTACTACTACTATTACTACTACTACTGCTACTACTACAACTACTACTATTACTACTACTTCAACTTTTACCAATGATGATGAGGATAAAAATAAGAATGATTGTAATATAGTAGCAGTATACTTAGTGGTAGTATAGAAGTAGTAGTAGTAGTAGCAGTAGTAGTAGTAAAGATAATGATAATAATATGAATAAGGCAAAGAAAGGAAGAAGAAGAAGAAGAAGAAGAAGAAGAAGAAGAAGAAGAAGAAGAAGAAGAAGAAGAAGAAGAAGAAGAAGAAGAAGAAGAAGGAGAAGAAGAAGAAGAAGGAGGAGGAGGAGGAGGAGGAGGAGGAGGAGGAGGAGGAGGAGGAGAAGAAGAAGAAGAAGAAGAAGAAGAAGAAGAAGAAGAAGACGAAAAAGAAGAAGAAGAAGAGTAGTTGGCTGTTAAGGTCTTATTTCCCTTTAATATTTCAGAAAAACCCAAAACTTATGTAACTATTATTACCTAATGACGTAACGATGGAGGTAAACGACGGTATTATTTTGGGAACATAGCTTTTTGACTTTTCTCAAAAACGTTAATGAGACCTGTTGACACACATGGCTGTTGAACATCAGCATGATTTCCATTAGTTTTCCGGTAATCTATCACAACTTCTTGGCGCTAATGATGTCATGTCCTTCTCGCCACGTCCATTAAAATAACCCCACACTCTGATTAGTTGAAAACATGAACAAAGCACTCGTCGATATGATTGCTCTACTAACGAGATGTTGCCCGGTTGTCATGGTTACAGGCGGGAGGTTGCACGCTGCAAGAGTTCATCAGAAACAGTGGCATGGAAGCTCGCAGCAAGGAGGCATTCGGCGTGATGGGTAAGCGTGTAGACTAGTGGTGAAGCAATCGGCAAGAGTGTGGAAGCTAAGAGTGAGGGGGGGGGGGGGAGGCATCGTGACAGGTTCCACCTCTTATTCATATTGAAAGAAACAGACGAGGGAGGGAGAGAGAGAGGGGGAGGGAGAGAGGGAGAGAGAGAGAGAGAGAGAGAGAGAGGGGGAGCGAGAGAGTAAGAGAGAGAGAGGAGAGAGAGGAGAGAGAGAAGAGAAAGAGAGGTAAGAGTGTGGAAGCTTGGAGGGGGAGGGGGAGCATCGGGACAAGTTCCACAATTTATTCATATTGCAGGGGAAAAAATGAGAAAGAGAGAGAGAGAGAGAGAGACAGGGCAGTAACGAGAAGGAGTGAGAAAGCAGAATAAGAAATGAGATGGGGATAAGTAAGTGGGGGGATGACGGAGGAAAGCGCACAAGAAGAAGAAGAATAAGAAAGAAAAAAAAAAAGAAAATAGAAGAAGACGAAAAGAAAAAAGAGAAAAAGAACAAATAAAGACTCTAGCAATAGGACAATTTAACTCCAAAACAGTGCTCCACTCTTCACTCCATCCTCCTTGTTACCGATCTCCACTAAATTCCCTAGTCCTCTTTCTCGTCTACCTGTTTTTCTCCGTCTCATTATCTCTTACCCAATAATCTTTCCATATATGGAGTGAAGAGCTTGTAGTGGTTCTATGCTGATTAGCCTCACACGACTATCAAACAAATCTGCTCTAATAACGTTTACTTTCTTCCACCCAACCCTCTATCTCCCGATCTCTACTAAAATCAATGTGATCTGTTTCGTTCATTCTTTTTTGCTCATCATCTCTCTTCTCCCATGCAGTGAAGAGCGTGTATAACCATGGAGATACAAGATCTTGTATCTCCATGGTATAACCGTAGAGGGTTCTACATTTGGGGGTTTGGGGTTTCATTCATTCTTTTTTGCTCATCATCTCTTTTCTCCCATGCAGTGAAGAGCGTGTATAATCGCACAGGGTTTTATGCTGATCAGCTCCACATGGCCATCAAAGACATCAGCTCAGGCAATGATGACAAGCTCATGAGAATTGTCATCTCAAGATCCGAGGTATGAATTATATTTTCATTTATTTATTAAGTTTTATTTCAGTAGGCTGGTTCCATTCGAGCCAAAAAATAAATGTAATGGCCTGATTTCCAAGGAAGTCATACATTATACAGGTACATAAAAATAACATCACATTGAATACAAAACAACACAGATTTATCACACAACTACGTAATAGTATGATAATCTAAACGAAAACATTTCTCAAATATTTGAAGTAACAACAATAACCAGGACCTACAGCCATTTATTCATTATCTTTGGGGAAATTTTTTTAGCAGGAAACAAACAAATACTTTACATTTTCAGGGGAAGAAAAAAACACACAAACTAGATAATTATTAAGAAGAAAAAAAGAAGAAGAAGAGAAATACTAGTACATTTTCTAACGAACAGCTAATTTCAGATCAAACTGACCAAATAAAGTCCTCAGCTGGAATAATTATGGTTGCTCTTCATACACTCAAATAATACTCTAACTATAATGTTGTTTACAAAGGGAAGCTTCATGAGCATCAACGCTGTTCTTACTGAGGGCCTTGCAATTATGCAACCCCAGAAATTGCCAGGTACCTAATTACACCCGGGGAGTGTTTCACAAAGACTAAGATCGAATTTTAGTTGGACGGGGGGGGGGGGGGGCATTATGGCCCCCCTTAAGATCTCGGGCATGAAACGGCCGATCTCCGCGAAAATTTGCACGCATGTCAAGTGAAGTGTATAGAATACTACGATGATTTCATTTTTTTGAAAAATTCACTTATTTGCATATTTATGATAATTTATGCAAATAAGGTAATAAATCACATTTTTACCCTTATATCTTATATTATTCATATTTAAGCATTCCTTTTCACTACTTATATTCATTAGATCATTTGGAATAATAATGCGACAAAAAATTTCGAAGAGCCAGCCTATTCCTTATGCTATCTCTTGTTTTGATAATTTCTTATGTATTTCATTGTTTTTTTAACTTATGTATTGTATTGTTTTTTGTTGTTTTATTTTATTTCTAACTACAATTCAACTATTTCGACTCCCAAAACAACCACCTAAACTTTAAACAAGACCCAATAACCAATGTTTGATCTATTTTTAGGAAAAATGACATTTCCATATGTTTTGTACATAAATCACGAAAATGAGCGATTTTCGGGCTGACATGCAAAGACAAAAGGTCACGTGACCCTGTAACTGTAGGTCCGATTTTCTTTTTTTAAAGATGCACAAGACTCGAAAGAAAAAAGTCAGTGAGCGGCGGGGCGCCATCCATATGCGTTCCTGAACAATCAGGAAAATCGTGGAGGGGGAGGGGGGGGGCATAATGCCCCGCCCCGGCCTTATTAGGGTTAACTATGGCTTGCCATTTATGCCACTGGTTGCTCTCACCATTATGATCTTTAGATAATATTTTACCCTTCAATAATGCATTATCAAAAAATGTAAATTCTGTAGATTTGTGACCATGATTTGTACGTCCCTTGAGAGACCAATGCCAGTATAAAAATGGTGAGAGCAAACAGTGGCATGAATGGACTGTATGTGTGTGTGTATTGGGTTTTTCCAGACGTGTATCAATCAGATATGATTATTTACGTCTGGGGACAGACCTTTAAACGTCACCATCCGAAAGCCGTGACTCAGTTTCGAACCTGCGTCCTCGGCTGAATCCAACTTAGTCTTTGTGAATACCCCCCCCCCCCCCCTGGGTGGAGAGTGTCTTGCTAAATGACGTTTCTTGAGATCCTGGTTTTGTAAAGGGGGCATAATTCCGACACATCCGCAATAGTGAAGCGGGGAGCCACCGAGTTCGGAAAATAACTTGGCGCCCCTGCTAAACAATGTTTGGATACGCCAACATGTTTCCGTTTGATTCATTTAGACAACTGAAAATAAGATTATTTTCCTCAGGTGCTTTTCTCTCACCCATTTGTGGATCCGGATTTTTTATTTTTTATTTATTTATTTATTTATTATTATTATTTTTTTTTAGGGGGGGGGAGGGGCGGAGGAGAGGGATGGTTACAGGGCAAGAAAATCTAGGAAGGGACTCCTGGATTCGTGTCTGTCAGTTTTCAAGATTTTTTTTTTTATAAAGGAGCGCTGCCCCATAGAACATATTATGGCGACATCTCTTGCTTACATTTTTGATATTATGATTCGAGTTGATAATCATAATTTAATAGTCTTTGATTTATCCTTTTCCCCCTTTCTTTCAGATCGACTTGGAAAATATCAAGGACTTCTTCCAAAGTGCGTACAGTCACACACTCACCGATTTTGTCTACGACGACACGAGCGGAGACTACAGGAATCTGCTGCTCCGATTGGTCGGCATGTAGACTACGTAGTGATGACGTCACTCTCACAAAAGCAGCCTCTCTCTCTCTCTCTCTCAGTCATGTCTCAGATTTATTTGTTTGGGCATTGCATACATTCACGTGTTTTGTTCTGTTTCTGCTTCCACTTTCTCAAGAGGGTATATTTGAATAGTTTTTGATTGAGTAGATCTGTCATTTTTCTGTTAATCTTTCCATCTTCTGTTCATATTTCCATCCATCACTCTTCTTTTTTATTTACTTTCTATCTTTCTGTTTATCTTTCCATTCGACACGTTTCTATTTTTCTGCACTGCCGCCATAAATCCCACCGAAATACTACGATAAAATGTTTAAGATACGTCCGACGGATACGTATCTGTAATGGTAATTATCCAATGTTTTCTTCATAGTTTAGATGGGTCTGCGGATGGGTCTAAATGTGTATAATATCAGGAATTTTTCATTGTTTATTTAAATTGTATTCGGGAGGGAGGGAGGGAGGGGGGGGGGGGTACATATTACGTGTGAAGTATATCTGAGATCATTTTTGGCAATCAAGCAAACAGAATGCAAGCAGAATCCATGCAGTTACTGGTAAATCACTAAATACATATAAATGAATAAATAATATCACTCAATGAAAAAAAGTTGGGCGATAGTACGACATAACTTTCCTCCCCTCCCATCAGGTGATATTCATTTTTTGTTCATAATCATCTATTCACAAACTAACGAACTGATCACCAACATATTCTTGTATACCCATGGCTCCCGTGCAATATCGAGTGTCTTAATCAGTGTGAGATTGGGATTTAGTTTTAGATAGAAAGGAATGCTACCTGGATCATGTTACCTGGATCCAAACGGACAGTAAATCATACAGAGTCACTGTATGTATTGACTCGTGGTCGGGGTTTATTATTTATGTCCCATGATTTCATATTTATTAGTTGTTCAAAAACTTGCTAACCGTCATTTCACGAAGCCAACCGATCAATGTATTGATTATATAATTAATAAATCAATAAATCAATCAACCAACCTAATGACAAAATAAAAACCAATCAACCTGCCAAACAATCAATCACTCCATCGATCGATCGATTGAGAATCAAATCGAGCAATCAATCAATCAATCAATATATCAACCAGACAATCATTTAATTCATCCATAGACTAAGAAATTAATCAAGCAATTAATAAATCATTCAATTAATCAATAAATCAACCGAACGATCAAACAATTACTCAATTTATTTATCCATCGAGTGGGAAATCAATCGTGCAATCAATCAATAGATAAATCAACAAAACAATCACTCAATCACTCAATCCTCGTCCATCAATTATTCAATCAATCAATCAGCCTTCTACATTCAATCTTGCCATAATCTTACAGCAGACTGTCTCAAACGACATAATTAGAATTGAAACATAAATATATTAAACCCAAACTGTGGCTGAATTTTGTATATAAGCATAATCTTTTTTAATATATAATATTTACAAAACCATAATAAGAATGTATTTATTTATAATTTATACACACCATATCTGTCAATTTGCCTTTATATCATAATTCTACATACAATTTTGGTGAAAGTATTGTAATATTTGTAATGCATTGTATTAAAATCAAGGAATTCAACATATATTTCTAAATGAAATTCTAATGACAGTATTGCCATTGTTTGTAATACATTTTTAAATTCATTACTTGAACGGTTTTGATTTGCAGGGTGCACTGCTGTGCGTTGCATGTTAAAATATCGTAGGATAGCACAGGAAACTTGCACACTTTTGGGTCACAAAATGTGGGATAGTCTCTTTATTGAATTACAAGTGACTGCATTTGACCAGTCATTTGATTAGGAACTGTTTTTAAAGACAAAATCACAACTTTTATAGTAGGATGAATGTGACCATTATCTGCAAACATTAGCAATAAGTAGGTGGATGTACAATACAATGGGGACCAGGGGAGTGTTTACAAAGACTAAGATCGTCTTTAAGTAGGACTTGACTATGGCAGGCCGTTCATGCCACTATTTTCTCTCAACGTTTACTGGCATTGGTTTCTCAAGGGACGTACCAATCATGGTCACAAATCTAGAGGATTATATTTTTTGATAGTTCATTATTGAAGGACAATATATTATCTAAAGATCATGATTGAGAGACCAATGGTGAGAGCGACCAGTGGCATGAACGGCCTGCCATAGTTAAGTCCAACTTAAAGTTGATCTTAGTCTTTGTGAAACACTCCCCAGCTCTGTATAGTTACTGAAATACGAATGGATAATATATTCTCATGTATAAAAAAAGGGTTTTTCTAAGGGCTTTTTCTGAGCCCCATGTATATTTCTGTATTGAAAAAAAAAAGGTGTATAGAATTCAACCTCAACTGGAACCTTGGTATTTTCAAATATGATTTTAGTTTTAGACAGCACTTTTTAATAGACTAGGTATTCTTGATTTCAACTATAAGTATATCTAATTGTAAATAGATGAGGTGAATTGTAAACAAAAAAAAGATCAAATTGCTTCTAAATAATCACCAAGATGCAACGGTTGTCTTCTTTTTCATCTCTCAACCATTATGGAACATGAATGCTTTTATTGAAATGCTGAACTACAATGTTTTGTCTTTGTTACTATTTTGGTGAAGTAGCTCGAATGATGTGTATTTTACATGGATTGTGGTAATAACACTCTTTGATATTTCTTCAGGAAAAATATTTGTCTTCGTCTTTATTTAATTAGTCTTGTTGTAGTCTACTACCATCCTAAGGCAATACGCCAGTATACGGTTGCAGTCCGAGCATGAGCAGATAAAGGTCATTGCAGAACAAATTGTGAAATACATGGAGACGAAATACTGGATACATGCTCATGAAAGTTAAGTATTCATCATTCATTTATGCACAAGTAGTGCACTCCATGATACACAGGTGGAATTATTCTTTGAAAAGGGGAAACAAAGGCTATTAATTAGCACCTCCACAGTAGGAGTGATTATTTCAAAATGTACAAGGTGGGACCTCTTCATGTTTTGAAGATCTGTGGATATTCGGGGTCATTTGGGACATGTGCTAACCGTGAACTGGTCTATTACATACACAGATCAAAAAGCAAAAAAATATATATGTTTCTCCAAATGAGACCGATATCAGACTTACAACGGAACAAATAAAAAGATACATGAGCTCTAATAATACCATAACAAAAATAAAAAAAGTTGACTTGGAGTCAATTTAGAGTCCTTTTAGAGTCTTTGCGACTGAGGTGTAACCAAGGTTTGTCTAACCCTTCATAACATCAACATTGTAATGAAAATTGAACTATAATTATTATTGCACTAAAACAAGAACAACTTTCATCTACCACAAAAGACCAGGGGGGGGGGGGGTGTTTCAAAAAGATACTAAGTCGAACTCAAACATTATGGAGAGCCATTTGTAGCCTTAAAATAAAATGTATTCATAAGCAAAAATTCAAGTATTTTATACTTTTAATAAATTCCACATCAAGAACATAAAATCTCCATGAAACAGAAAATAAGAATGATTTGAATCAACATTTTATGCCTTTTAAAATACATTTTACAAAATATTTTCATGAATGCTAACTGCTTTCCATAATTGTTAAGTCCAACTTAGAGATAAGTTCAACTTAGGATCTTTGTGAAACACCCCCTGTGCATGCAAAATCTGTCACAAGGTAAGTAACTGCTCTGCTAAAATCATCAAGGCTTTTTAACGAGCTTCGGTTTGAACCCAAGCTTTGCTCACTTGAATGTCACAAGATTGATGAAACACTATGCTTGAAGAATTTGGCAAATGCTTACCGGTACCCGCTTGCCTGGCAAAATATGTTGGCCACCCTTGCAAACATAAGCAGGTAAAATTGCATCAATGTTTTTTTCTCCAAGAAAAAACAAACATAACTGCAGAAATAGAGTCAAACCCATCTATAAAGGCCACTAACAGTTAGAAGAAGCCAATGTAGAGAAGTGGCCTTTATAGACAGGTTCAAGAACACTGGAGACAATTGTGGCCACTATAGACAGGTGGTCTTTATATTTAGAGTTTCTCACTGATACAAGTTTGACTGTATCTTCAATATCCTGTCCACCTTAAGTGTAACAGCACTGAACAGGTGGTAACATCAATGACCACTATAGCCAGGTTGCCTATATATAGAGGTTTTCAAAGATACAGGTTTGACTGTACCTTCAATATCCTGTCCATCCAAAGTGTGAAAGCACTGGAAAGGTGGTAACATCAATGACCACTGTAGACAGGTTGCCTTTATATAGAGGTTGTCACTAACATATACAGTAAGCTTGATTGCATCTTCAATACCTTGCCCAACAAAAGTGCAAAAGCGTGTGTGACAGCTGTCATAGTCCCTGTAGAGACAAGACTCTGCAATTGGCACTTGCAAAGACCTGGCCCTTGGTGGAATGTGTCCTCTGCTTGATGCATGGGTATGCCGCAGTTCATCCTTCCATCATTGGACAGGGACGAAGCTCTCATAGCCAAACTTCTGCTCAAACTTGTGCACAAACTTCTCACAGTGTTCACCTGGAGAGGGAGAAGAGAAGAAAAATAGAGATATATAGAGAGAAGCATGTGATTCATGATACAGAGAGAGAGAGAGAGCAACAGACAGAGACAGAGCGAGTGTATGTGTGTGAGAAAAGAGAGAGAGAGAGAGGGAAAGAAAGGTAGAGAGGGAAAGAAAGGTAGAGAGAGACAGGCAGACGGACAGACAAAGATAGACAGAGAGAAAAAAAGGGGGGAGATGTCAGTGGGGGAGATGTCAGTGAGGAAGAGAGAGAGAGAGAGAGAGAGAGAGAGAGAGAAAAGAGAATGAAAAGGAGAAGAATGAAATAATGACATTTTGAAGACAGAGACACAAAGTTAAAGAAGAAAGAACAGAGATGGATACGTGAAAAGAGAAAGTCAGAAAGGGATGAAGATGAAGCAAGGGTGGATTTAGTGGGATGAGGGAGAGTTGAGGAAGAGACAGAATTATGGAAGAGAGAAAGAAAGACAGCAAGATCGGCAAGAAGTTGGATAGTGAGGTAGATAAACACAATCAGAGGAAGAAAGAGGAAAATATAAAGAGTTCACAAAGAAATTATATAGCATATATTGTGTGTAGTGATCTTTGACAAAAATTATTAAAAAATCACACCATTCTTATTCTCATATACAGTACACGCCGAAAATCTCCGCAACACGATTACACGATTTATTTTTAGGATTACACGGTTTACACGATTCAATTCACCTGAATCGTGTAACTGTGTAATCGTGTAAATTTACACGATTGAAGAATGTCGCTCTGAATCGTGTAATCGTGTAAATAGTTAAGTGCATTGGTCGGATGATTCGACCAGATGTAACAATCGTGTAACTGTGTAATCGTGTAAATTTACACGATTGAAGAATGTCGCTCTGAATCGTGTAATCGTGTAAATAGTTATTAGGGTTATAAGAGCATTGGTAGAACGATGCGACAAGCTGCAACAATCGTTAAATCTTATCCTGCTTACACCAATTGCTTTATACACAACTTACCTTCGGTGTACATCAGTTAATTACTGTACTTTATATTCGTGTATAAACCTCAGCACTTTCCACTAACATGTATCGTATACTAATCCGTGAGACAAGGTAGGAAAACGTCAGAAACAGGAAGACATGATAGATGAAATAGTAAAGGAAAAAAGATAGCTACGAGGAGAAGGGAACATATAAAAGGAAAATGAGGGTTGAAAGGCACGATAAAGATAAACAGAAAAAAAGAGAGAAAAAAGGGAAAACTAAAAAGTTGACCGGAAGAAAAGAAAGAGTGAAATAGAGTGATAAAAAAAAAGAAGGGCGAAACCTAGTAAAATTAACAGAAATGAGAAGGCTATGAAACGGAGAGGAAAAGAGACAAATAAATAAGGTAAGAGGGGAACATAATGAGGGAAAGAGAGGCGAGAAAGATATGGGGGAATGGAAAGATATTGAAAGAAAGAGAGAGAGAGTGAGAGAGAGAGAGAGAGATAAAAAAAAGCTATAGTTGAAAGAAAAGGGGCACCGATCAGATTTTAATAGGGGCATTTATCGGAGTTGATGGGGGCATTTATCAAAAGTGAAGAGGGCACTTCTCGTACTTAAAGAGGGATACTTACTAGAGATTAAAAGGACACTAATGAGAATGGAAAATGGACACTTATTGTAAAGGAAAATAGGAACTCGTCGAAAGAAAAGGGGTGTGTGTCAAAAGAAAAGGAGCACTTATCAGAGTTGAAAAGGGGAAGGGGCACTTTTACAAATTAATAGGGACACTTGTCAAAGTAAAATAGGTACTTTTCCTACATCCAAAGGGGCACTTTGGGGGAACTTGAAAAAGTGGGGGGACACTGTGCCGCTAGCTAAACGTAACTCAAAGACAGTTGGCCATTCACTTATTCTATTCATTCTCGGCTTGCAACTGTTCCCTACACTCTGTAGCCAGTGGCTTACATACTTACGTACATGTAATACCTATTGTTCAGGGGGATCCTATGTTCAAGGGGAACCCCCTAAACAATAGGTATTATGTAAGGATCTCTGCCTGTAGCTAGGGCAACGGCCTTTGTCCCCGGCGAGGGTCAATGGCAGGCCACATTCAGAGTAAGCTTCTTTTGTATGTGACAGGAAGTGTGCCCTTAAGCCTTGACCGTAGCTCTTTATACATATAGCTGAATAATGCAATGTTGTAAAAGGTAATTTACGAAAATGAGGAACGCTAAAAAAGCAATAAGTGATCAAAGTCTAAGGCCCGAATACACAAAGGAGGTTTGTCGACAAACCTTGGTTTTCGTGCGTCATATGACGCGTTTTTACAAACCAGGTTTGTAAAATGGATAATGATTGAATAAAAAAAAGTATAACGATATTCATAGTAACGAATGAGCTGGTGAACATAATTCTAATTGGTACAGCCTTGTAATGTAAGAGTATCACAACATACTTAATTATGTTAGCCCTCTTTTACATTTTGTAATCATTTTTACTTATTTACAACTTAGGAATAACAAAATTCCCTCCTTCCCTCGTCGTTCATCGCTTTTTTCTTTTTTCTCACCGAGGATTAAATCCGAGAGTGCTTTTCGGGAAGTGGACTGATTTTTTTAACTTTCAAACATTCTATAATAAAACTAGAGACAAGACACTGCAATTAAAAATATATACAAGAGAAAGAAAGCGTAATCTTCGCTATCCCCTCGTATCGTCCACGTTGTCCTCGTTCAACCAAGAAGTAACTTCTTGCTTTTACTGAACTAGACGTCCTTAACCTGCTCACCATCACCACTGAAAATAAATTGTAACACAATTCCAGCGAGCAATCGAATCGTGTAAATTTTGAATCGTGTAATCGTGTTGCGGAGATTTTCCGCGGGCAGATTACACGATTACACGATTCGACCTGAATTGAGGAATCGTGTAATTTCACACGATTACACGTTTACACGATTCAAATTTCGCTTCATTGGCAAAAAACGAATCGTGTAAAAATAAATGGTTACACGATTCCCGCGAGCAGTCGAATCGTGTAAATTTTGAATCGTGTAAATCGTGTTGCGGAGATTTTCGGCGTGTACTATATCAGTTAGCTAAGACCTTTTACTAGCCTGTAATTCTTAGCTATCTAATTTCAGTAAAATAACTGAATTTCAGGGTGGACCTACAATACAAAAGACATGAACAAAAACTGCTCTTAGCCAATCAACATTACGACACGTATCATGTACATACCAGGAGCAAACATGGGGTTTCCCCTCATCCTGAGGTTGCGCTGCTCAAAGAACTTGAAGACCGTGTAGAAGAGCATGTCATCCTCCGCGTTCAAGGCCGCCTCCAGGAACTTCCTGGACGATGCGCTCTCCGCTCCACCGACACTGCGCAGGAACCTGAGAGCAGCAAGGATCTGGTTCTTGGAGAGAAGGACCTCGATGATCTCCTCGTTGGCTGTTGTAAGTCTCTGAAAAGGACATTCATAATACGTTAATATAGCTTGCATCACTGGACGACGCGCTCTCCGCTCCATCGACACTGTGGAAGAACCCGAGAGCGGCAATGATCTGGTTCTTGGAGAGAAGGACCTCGATGTTCTCCTTGTTGGCTGTTGTAAGTCTCTGTAAAGGACATTCATAATACGTTAATATAGCTTGCATCACAGGACGACGCGCTCTCCGCTCCACCTAACTGCGCAGGAACCTGAGAGCAGCAAGGATCTGGTTCTTAGAGAGAAGGACCTCGATGATCGCCTCGTTGGCTGTTGTAAGTCTCTGAAAAGGACAATCATAATACGTTAATATAGCTTGCATCACTGGATGACGCGCTCTCTGCTTCACTGACACTGCGCAGGAACCTGAGAGCAGCAAGGATCTGGTTCTTGGAGAGAAGGACCTCTATGATCTCCTCATTGGCTGTTGTAAGTCTCTGAAAAAGACATCCATAATACTTTATATCGGGACTGCACTACTTTTAGCTAATTGCGCCCTCTGATAGCAAACAATGCCTAGTCAGTGACCGTTGGTCCACCATAATCCCCTTTTTCTTATGTTAATTGAGAGCTGATTTGATGAGATAACCACCTGTCAGTGACCATGCAGGGAGGTCTAATCCCTCCTGGCGGAAAAAGTGCAGATTGGCTTTAAAGATTCAGGATGAATGTTCTCTTGCCTCTGAATAATGCAGTGGTTTTTTAAATATTTGTATTAATCTCGTTATTTTATAGTTTTCACTGACTTTACTTGAAGAAAATTGGTGCCGAAAACAGCAGGCAACCATTATGGTAGCCTGCCGTCACTTAACAAGTATGGGTAAGGCAGATGACTATCAGTTATACATACCTTTAGCATATCCAGGGCGAGTTGGTAAGCGGGTGGATAGCAGCTCTCGAGGGAAAGCAAGAGGCAAGCGATGGGTTTGGAGTCACTGAGGACATGGTACTGAAGGAACTGATGGAGTTGATAGAAGCAGTTGTGATGGACAAGGGTGTTGATCACCAACTCGTACAGGAAGTGCTGAAAAGATTCAAAGATGGAGAAATTAAAGGGAGTGTAGCTTGGCAAATACTGGTTAACGCCATCTACGACTTCTTTTGGACAACTGCACGTAAGCTAATAGACTTGATTAACTGGGTCAGCACGCTTCGATTTTGTGTATGTTGCACGCACGTGAATACTGCGGTCGCATCGCCCGTAGTCATATTATACCCCATTGGTCCACAGGCAGGCCACTGGAAAGACACATAGTCTCGTCATGCTACACCCCTTTAAAACCTCAAACTCTTAGTGGGTCATAATTATCTTATGCACGTAGTCGTGGTAAAAAATAAATTAATAATTAAATGAAGAGGTTAAAAAGTGGAATGTGAAAGAGATAAAGGGAGACTAGAAAGAAGGATATAAAAATAGGAACAAGATTTTTAAAAGGAAAAAAGCGAAACATAGCAAAATATAAGGGGAGGGGGTTATGGAGTATGCATATTGGGTTAACCCTAAAGATTTATTTATCACTTGTCAAAGCTAATAGTAGCTTATTCAAGATACATGTCCTTGTCAACTTACTGGTGGAACAACATTTGCTCTGTTGAGTGTTGATAATTGCTCAAGGCTCAAATCAAAAGACAAAGGAGGTTTAGGATTGCAATTTGGTTTTTGGCTACATGTACATGTAAGTTTAGGGTTATGTGTAGGGAAGGGTACCCATGAACAACCATGAGTTTTTTGTCCAGGGCCCGTCTTACAAAGAGTTGCGATTGATCCAAATCAATCGTAGATACTCCAATCAATCGCAAGTTTGCAGTCTCCAATCTCTTAGTTGCGATTGATATCAACAACAGACAGGGCCCAGGATTGACGTCTGGAATTCAGCAAGTATAGGATATTGATCAACCGTAGAACATGTGTTGTAGACCCAACTTCATATTTTTTTTTTTACCTGCACAGGAATTTGATACTGGTTGAGAGACCGGATGTACTCGACTAACACTGCAACCAAGAACTTGTGGCTGGAGTCCTGTAATGTATAAAAATAAAACAAAAAGAATTGAACCTGAACTACATTTTGTAGTCTCAAAATCTAGGATAATCAAGGATAATCATATCAACGAGAGAGAAAATGGATAGGGTGAGATTTCTGAATCTAGATGTAATAGATCTGGGGGGTGTTTCACAAAGACTATAAAAACAATGTTTGCTTTAACCATTTACATACATGCCAACATTTGAAAATCAGAAATCTGTACAAATTATGCTATTTTAAAAAAAAAGAGGAACAATCCTAACTCTCCTATTCAATACTACAGACAAATTTGTACAGGAAGAGGAACACCTGCATTAAAATGATAATTATCTTCTCCCAAAAAGAGGAATGTTCCTCTTTAATCTGAACAGTTGGCATGTATGCATTTACTGGCTGGTCTCTGAAGGAACGTATAAATTGTGGTGACAAATCTACAGAATTTACATTTTGTGATAGTTCATTCATATTGAAGGAAAAACATTATCTAAAATTGATAATTGAGAGACTAATAGTGAGAGTAACCAGTGGCATGAATGTCCTGTCATAGTTAAGTCCAACTTAAAGTTGATCTTAGTCTTTGTGAAACACCCCCCCCCCCCACCCCCCATCTGCGGGTTCTCCTGGAGTCAGGCTTTAAGCAAAGGAAGGGTCTGGTGTTCAGAAGACTAGCATTTCATGTGAAGGATGCTCTTTAATCAATTCTTTTTTTTTAATCAACAACATGTTACACTTTGGTTGCATTCTTCATCTCTCTGCACAATCAATCATTTGCCAAATATGCTATTTTGAGCAAAAAAATAGACACCAATCAATTGACAGAAAGATTGCTTTGTGAAACACAATGACTTGTTAAAATTACTAATTTCCTTAGTTTCTTGTCAACCAGTTCTTGATCAGTTTATATTAATCTTGTGCTAGAAACAGTCAAATAATAAGCCTTTAGTATATCTATCTCATGTTAAATACAAGGTGGCCGAGGGAGAATCGTTTTTGTGCCATACAATGATTTAATGCAAGCTTTTTTTTCTTCTTCATTTTGGATGCCATATTTTTCAATTAGGACATAAAAAGTTGAAATGCCTGCTAAAAATCTGAATGGAATAAGCTACATGATTCATACAAATGCTAGAGCGCTGTAATAGCAGCACAGCTAAAGCCGGGGTAATAATTTCCAAATTTGTTAAAGTGCCTTGAGCATCTCTTGGGGTGGATATGCATGCCTTATACATGTTGTTATTATTATTATTATTATTATTATTGTTGTTGATAAGTTCAGACAATATACATGTATACATACAAAACAATAAACTCCATTAACTTATAAGTGGTTGTGAGTGAATGGTCGAACGCAATGTGCAAAATAAAAATTCTGATCAGCTTAACCCTTTGCTTACGGGAACCTGGTGGTCCCTGTGTTAAGCTTATGGGAATTAGATAAGTCAGTAGTCAACGGGTTAATGTTATACACAAAGAATGCCATGTAAATTACACTGATTGCTCAAGAATACAAGTAAATAATGTATCAAGAAATAGAAATAATGAAGTAAAAAGTAAAATATATGAGAAAATAGCACATTGGGTTGATTAAACAAATCAAATACTTTTCTAAGGAAATAAAAAGAATTAAAACCAACCAATGATAAACTAAAGCTATTTACTAATACTAACAAAAAACAATAAATTCAGAGACTAATATTATACCTACATGTAGTCAAAAAACATAAGATTTTAAACATTCACAAGACAGTGTAGAGGTGCTATACGTGTACGTGAGTCCTGCTTCATAAACTTTAGCATTGAAATATCAAAAATTAAAGATTTTCCCATGTTACTTTGCACATCATTTAACGATTTAAAAGAAAATTTCTTCTCATGAACAAAGGCCAATTAGGTAAATAAGCAAAACATAGTGGGCCAAAAAGATGCGTCCAGAACACAAAAAGCATAATTGCTGATAATTTGGGTTTTCTGTTGTACGCAAAAAACCTAAATTTGTTATTCTTTCATCAATCCTTGCAGAAATATGTCTCAAATGACATCCTCTTTCACATTACGATACAATTTGAGTGAAATTTTGCCATCAAATTTTTGAGGCTCCCAATACTTTAGAGGGGCTCTAACCATTTCATTTTCCTTGAATGCTATGAAATTCCGGATCTCAGGAACATTGACTAGGAACAGGGAAAAAATATATTTAAATTAACACTCTAAAATTTGTTTTGCATTGAAATCTATGCAAATTTATAGGGGCTCTTTACTGATTTTCGGGGGCTCTTTTGAGCATTTCGGGGGCTAATTCGCCCCGAGCCCCCGTGTATTTTTTTCATTGACTAGGAATATTCTCCAGAAAATGGAGCTAGACTACATTCAAAAGCTCATACAAACTAATTAATAATAATTGTAAATGAGCAATACACATTTTAAGTTAACAACCATATTAAACCGTAACTACCAAGGCGGAATCTAGAAGCTATTAACTACAGAAATTATTGCAACTGAATGCCCCAAAATACCAAGTAAACGTCTAACTCAAACAAGTACATAATATAGTATTAATGACTGCTTTGAGAGAAATAGTTGTTTTATTACGCTCAAGGGAAGGTTAGAATTGTGCTATTCCCCGAGGCTTGCCGAGGGGAATAGCCCAATTGTAACCTTCCCGAGAGCGTATGAAAACAACTATTTCTCGAATATTAAAGCAGTCATTAATACTTTTATATGCCGAAAAAAAATAGACTAAAAAATAAAATTTTGTCGAAGGTGAGAGTCGAACCCTTGCGTACAATGAGTGATGAATCTTACACCAACGCCTTACACCACTCGGCCATCACGCGCTGTTCACTTGCTTGGCAGTTTTGTACAATATATACATTAAAATGGATTGAAACCGGCTTCGGCGTGATGAATGCTTCGCAAAAGCACCCTTCTTTTACTTTTGCAATGCATATTGGCACGAACTTAGATCAAGATCTATCGGCAGATGTTGTTTTTTTGTTTTTGGAAGTTTATTTTCGTCTTCATGTCAACAATGCAAGATAAAATTGTCGGTAAGATCGATCGAGATTCAATTGTATTGAAATTACCGACCAATCCTTCGCACACATACGGTATCCTCGATCGCTCAAACCATTTTTTAACATGTAAACCTATGGGGTAACCATGGAGGCTGACCTATTTTTTTAATAACCATGGTTATTAAAAATATTAAATGTTTTATGCATGGTTACCGGGAATTTTACAGGAACAGTTGAAGTTTATGAATGCAATTCGACCAATCAGATGGCTGGATTTCTTAAGTGAGGTATATAATAGAAATTATTGCAACTGAATGCCCCAAAATATACCCAAAAATACCAAGTAAACGTCTAACTCAAACAAGTACATAATAGAGGTACATTCTATGGGTACATGTAGAAAGAAAAAAAGCAAGGTAAAAAAAAAAAAAAGGTGCCATAAACAGGGTGAATAGGAATATTGAAGAGAGCAGGAAAAACAATTGGGAAAATTTTCATAAAAGATTTTTTTTGTTTTCATTCATCCCAATAGCTTCTATTCACCCTGTTTTACATGTAAACAACACTGGGTAGATAGCTGTTAGGTCTTTGCTACACAACAGGGACAGATAACTAAAAGTACTAAAAACAGCAGTAAGACTGGACGAGACAAACGTCACTTACCTTCATTCTAGCCTTCATGGAAATAATTCCAAAATGAAAATATAAAATTAATTATTCAGAAGGTATGAACATTTTTTAGTGCATAATCATATTAATCATCTTATTTTTTATATTTTTTGTTATTAAAGTAAATAAATGCTAAACGGATTTGAACTGTGGTTCATAACCTGGTTAACATGAAAAACAAATCAAATTGAATTGAATTGAATTGACATGAATGGAGCTGAATTGGATTGAGTTGATTGGATTGGATGGGATTAAGATCAATTGATTTGAATGGATTGAACTGAATTGAATTGATTGAACTGAATTGAATTGAAATGAGCAGATTTAATTGAACTGAAATGAAATGAACTAGACTGAACTGAATTGAATTGAATTGAATTGAACCAAAATGAATGGATTGAATCTAATCGATCTAAATTGAATCAAACTGAACTTAATTGAACCGAATTAAATGGCATCGGAATTGACTGATACTAAACTAATACAGGACCTAGGAGTGCCCCTGAGAAACTCCACATAAGCTGTAGTTGAGGTACATTGCATGTATAGCGAAGTGGACCTTCCATTTAGTGTGGACATAATTTCTAGTATCAATAGCATTATCATTACGTTGTATACATCATGACTAAATTGGCTGAAGATATAAAAATGAAACTGGACCTAAGAATACCCCAGTGGAACTGCACATAAGCTGCAGTTGAGGTACAATTACATGTAAAGCGAAGTGGACCTTCTATCAGTGTTGATGCAAATTCTAACATCAACAGTATTATCATTATGTTGCATACAACATGATGAAATTGGTTGAAGACATAAAATAAAACTGGACCTAGGACTGCCCCTGAGGAACTCCGCATAAGCTGCAGTCGAGGTACATTACATGTATAGCGAAGTGGACCTTCTATCAGTGTGGATAAAAATTCTAACATCAACAGCATTATCATTATGTTGCATACATCATGATGAAATTGGTTGAAGATATAAAATAAAACTGGATTTAGGACTGCCCCTGAGCAACTCCACATAAGCTGCAGTCGAGGTACATTACATGTATAGCGAAGTGGACCTTCTATCAGTGTGGATAAAAATTCTAACACCAACAGCATTATCATTATGTTGCATACATCATGATGAAATTGGTTGAAGATATAAAATAAAACTGGACCTAGGAATGCCCCTGTGGAACTCCACATGAGCTGCAGTTGAGGTACATTACATGTATATTCACTATGAACATGACTGACAAAGAAAGCCGACAAAATATACAGTTCCTCAGGTAGACAAAGGAACATCCCTTCACTGCTATTATGTAAAAATGTGTAGAATGGGTGTCACATGCATATTCACCTTTTTACATAATAGCAGTGAAGGGATGTTCCTTTGTCTACCTGAGGAACTGTATATTTTGTCCATTTTCTTTGTCAGTCATGTTCATAGTGATTATAATATCAACAGCCTTATCATTATGTTGCATACATACATGTACATGATGAAAATGCAGTAGATATAATACTAACTTTCCTCTCTGCTACAGGTGTGAGTACATGGGTGTACATATCCGACTGATCGATGACGACCCTTGTGCCCGACGAAACCCTGGCTGCTGATTGGCTGCTCTTGGGTGACGATGCCTCCTCTGCCTATGTTCAAAACACAAAACACACTTTTTACAAATACAGTGAAACCTGTGTATAAAGACCACTCAAGAGAGACAGCAAAAGAGGTCTTTACATAAAGGTTCCTGTAATACATGTTCCTATGAGAAACACAGTTCAAGGGAAACACAAATTTTGGTCTTTACAGACAGGTGGTCTTTCTATTCAGGAGGTCGCTGAAGCAAGTTTGTCTGTACTTTCAAAATGGAAAGATAGAATCAAGACTAGTTACAGATAAGGCAAAACTATCCAAATGTCTACCTCATTCACAGCTCATAGTCTTTTTGCGCTTCTTCATTTTGATAAGCTACCGAATGCAATGAGAAATCACACAGTGGAAAAAACACAGGTATTTAAATTACCATGACTGTTATGCACACTACCATACCATCACAAATACATCATTATCTATATCTGCAATATACTTACATGATGGGCATGGCGTTCAGCCAAGTACGTCCTGTACACTTCATTAAGTTTGTTGAAGATTTTGGCTATGGTGGCAAGATTGCAGTGCTGACCAGGTACCAAGGCTGGGGAGAGAAAGAAATGTATTTTGTCTTCGTTTGTTTCTTTCCTGTTCCTGTATTTGTTATTACTTTTGTTACTGTATTTTATTACTGTGTGTTGTTGTATTTGTGACCCTGCCTTTTGCCAGTCAATGAAGAAATATTTATCTTCTTCCGGCAGAGGATCTGGCTAACTGCAATGTTACCTTTTTAATTTTCTGCTTTAAAATGCTCTTGGCAAAAGATTTGCCAAGAGCATTTCATCTGCAATCATCTTTCTTTTTAGTCTTTGTTCATAAACATGCAGTGGAGTTCACTGTATCAGTCCATGATTTCCAAATTATACCACTCACCCCAAAACAATTTGCTCTGTAAGATATGGGTTCCATTTTCCTATATATAATTTTTTTTTAAATATAAAAAAAACTCTCAATAAGAATAGGAGCATTTATTCTGGAGTTGACCATTCAACACATTGATTGTTAACCTTTCCAGAGAAGGTTGAGTTCTGGGAAGAGGTGAAAAATAATTTGTGAGCGGATTCATTGTATTATGCAAGTGTGGAAGTGCATCAGATAAAAAATGTTCCCCGAAAAGCATGGCTCTTCAAATGCCTTAATATTCTAAATTTGTGAGCGGATTCATTGTATTATGCAAGTGTGGAAGTACATCAGATAAAAAATGTTCCCTGAAAAGCATGGCTCTTCAAATGCCTTAATATTCTAAATATTCTAAAATCATAAAAATTGGGACAGATTTGTATGCCACATGTTTGTGTAGTACCATAAACATCTTTCTGTGTACAGTGCCTGTAACTTAATTAACCAAGACTGGGCGAAATTTCTTATCATTTTGATGATTCCAAAACGTTGCAGTACACACCAATACTTATATGCTAGATAATCAACCTTTTCTGATCGATACCACAATGTTTCTTTCACAAATTGCATGATCAGAACTCAACTTTATCTTTAACACATTCTATTAATTCACTACTTACCTGTTTGTAGAACGTACAGAATGACCTTCTTGCTCTCCCTCCTCAGCAACAAGAAATCTATCAATCGACACTGCAAAGTAGAGATGGATAGATTAGGTAAATCACAAGCCGCATTGTTGAGGAAATACAAAGCTCTACAAAATCACAAAATATTCTGTTTCTAGAGAAAGCATGGTTTGGAAAGAAATGTAGCTCATAAAATTAGAAGAGGGCAAATACAAGAAACTGATTGGTTGAAAATAAAGTTCTGTTAATTTTTTAGTTTTAGGTTTATCACAGAGTTCATGCAAGATGCCCTGAGGGTACCTTTCGATACCTCTTTTGAATTTAAAACATCCACTTCCTATTTTGTTTTTAATAAAGAAAAACAAAAAAACCAATGAGAACAAACAAATTGATAATAACCCTAAATAATAAATCTAAAATGTAAGCTTCTAAGTTGTAACACAGGGAATGGGACAGTATGTTCGAGGTTGAAAGAAAGCACCACTCCCCAGAAGTAATTGTACGTACTACGAAACTGTCTAAACACCAATAGATATATATGTTACTTCACTACATATTTGGTCTGAGCAACATTTACAAGTAGGCTCCATTCAAGTTTTTATCTGAATAGAATGACAATGCATATATACTAAAATCTGTATAACATATGGTTAAACTAGATGGATCTTCAACTGCGTGCAATTGAAATGATGCCTCCGCCACAGAGCGATTTTACAAACCAAAACAGAAGCAAATTAAAAAAATCAAGTTTGATTGTTATACATTTACAGATTCTCAGAATATTGTGATTACAAGCCATTTCTCATATACATGTACATGTATGACCCTTTGATCTTTGACTTCATGACCCTAAAATCTAATCAGTTCATTGGCCCTGCCAGATACATATCTGTCCAGAGTTTGATAGTAATCCATCCGTCGGTACTATTGACAATGCGTTCACAAGCTATTTTTGGTACATAATGAGCCCCATGGCTATCGACCTTTGACCCAAAAATCTAATCAGCTCATTGGCTCTGGAAGATACATACATGACTTAAGTTTGGCGGTAATCCGTCAATCGGTTCTTGAGACCATGAGAACGGGACCTACAGACGGATGTACGTATGGACTGACGGACAACCCAAAACATAATGCCTCTGGCTACTTTGTAGCGGAGGCATAAGAATAGCTGTAGGTATAGTTCATGAGGATGAGCCTTTCAAATGTAGGCAGATGACAGTTTAATACATACCTTGTCTGGTATCATAGGTACTAGAGCATCTAATCTCAGACTGATATGCCATAGACATCCTAGCTTGGCATCAATGACGATGTTTGGTTGGAATACAACCCAGTTGGGAGAGTCTGGGATTTGGAATCATAAGTCAAGGTATAAACATCTGATCCATAAAACATATTATAAATATATGTAGCAAGACTAGCAACTACATTTAGTTTAAATCAATAAGAAATTTATCCGTGGTTAATCAGTAGACAATGCTTTCAGGAGATTGAAACATGAGTGTGAACCAGTAAGTCAAGCATCAGTTCATTTTTAATAATCAATAGATTAGTATCTTTTTTTTACCCCGGAAAGCCTCATCTGTATCAATCAGTCTTGGTTACGTTTGTATCCCTGTCACCTAGAGTTTCACTGCATTGATGGGGGAGCGGGGAGCACTTCTGATTGCTAGTTGCTTCTCACAATTTTGTGTAAGTCTTCTTTGAAAATGTGATATTGCAATCATAGAGAAATCAATTTGGCTTATCAAGCATTTTTCAGCTTCTTCTATACACGTATCCCAGTCACCCGTACCTCATGCTGATGTTTATGCTTCAAGGGAGTGTAACTTGGCAAATACTGGTTAATGCCATCTACGACATCTTTTGGCCAACTGCACATAAACGAATGAACTTGATTAACGGTAGTCAGTGACTTAATCTCTACATGGTCAGTGTTTGTGAAACAGACCGAAGTTCTACTCACGCTTTGGTTTTGCGTATGTCGCACGCATATGATTGCTGCAGTCGCGTTGTCCGTAGTCGTATTAAACCCAATCGGCCCCAAGTCAGGCCACAGGAAAGACATTTAGTCTCATCAGGCTACCATCCCTTTAAATCCAGTCTGTACTAGTTTGGCCAGGGGGGATTAGACCTCCCTGCAAGGTTACTGACTGGTGGCTATTTCATCAAATCAGCTCTCAATTAACATAAGAAAAAGGGGACCATGGGGGACCAACAGGCACCGATTAGGCATTGCTTGCTATATAGAGGGCACAAGTAGCTACATAGTGCAATGGGACTTTAAGTAACTTTGGTTTATACAAGTACCAACAATACTTTATACATGTACCCAAGTGGCTTTGGATTGCACAGTACAAACACGAATTCATTTCACTCCTCAAATCTCACACAGAATGGTCCCCCAGAGCACCACCTATCTGCATCAATTATTCCTTGTTAGAACCAAAGGATACAGAGATCTACACCGACTTCCCTCATCTCTAGTCCCGTCTGCGTGGGTATTCCGGCCACCTTGAGTTTGACCGGTTTGATGGGCAGGGGGGCAAGCACGGGGTGGTGGTAGTTGCAGTTGTTGTCCGTTTCGCTGGGGGCCAACCCGATGTCAAACACCATCGAAGTCTGAAACATGATTAATGGTGAACATACATTAGTCGGAATGGGGGACCTTTACGGTTTCTGTGATTTAATTTGCCTGCCCCTTTCCTGGCAAATTGTAAATGCTCATGGGAATCAGGATTAAGTTTTGTTTTAATGATTTTCATCCTTTGTTTTGTATGATTTGTTTATCTATGTAATACTTTTGGATACACTTTGCTTTGCCGAATAAATAAGAACAAAGAATAATAATTGATATTGAAAAACATGTGTTTATATTCTTGATGTTTATGGTAGTTGTGTACTTTGAAATATCAACATGATAAGGAAATGTAAAGTACAAAGATAATAAGCTATCACAAAGATTGCAATAATATTACTCTGTTAATATTTGATATTGTCATCTTGATGTTGCATTTTTTTTTTGTCTGGAAAGCGCTCAAGTAAAATGCACACAAGAAAACAATCTGAGGTCTAGTACTATACTAATCTAATCTGTAAAGAAATTTGCTATCAAAATGCAGATGCATGATTGTATACACAATTTTGAAGGTTCTTAAGGAATAAAAGTAATTTTAATTATTACAATTTCAATGATTAAAGTAATATTTGATTTCATACCTTTGATGCTTGATGGTGCACAACTACAAGGTTATCCTGTTAAAGAGAAAATTATACATATTTTAAAAGATGAAATAAGGAGAATTACAATCATGACATGACAACACCTCAATTAAGTAATAAGAGAGAAAGAAAGGATGAAGAACAAGAACAAGAAAAACAAGAACAAGAAAAAAGAAGGTGAAGAAGAAGAAGAATAATAGGAAAGAAAATCTACACTTTAATTTGATCAAGGGTATGAATTTTCTTTGAAATTCTTTGAAAACTGAGTAGGATGTTCAGCATCGCAAACATTTTCATGAGGATAAGTACATGTATTTCCCTTCACCTTTACAAGAAGAAAAATAAGTTTCACAAAACATAAAGTATCACTGGAATCCCTGGAACACTGCAAACATGAATTGCTCATCAAATCATTTACAACTGACAACCACGATGACATAACATATCCTCTTCTAACGATTCAAACAATGGTTGTAACAGAGAGGGTATGATAATGCCAATGGCTCTTTCCACTTGTATCGACCATGTACAAGTACAAACAAATTTTTTCTAATTTAACTCTACTCACGACAACATTAACTGCAAATCGGCCGCTCATGTCGAGCCTGAGTACATCTGTTTTCTTGGCTGGAGATTCTCTGAAAGGAAGAATTCATCATATCATATCATTACAGTTGTTCTACCTTCTGCATGTAAAAATAAATTACTCATGTGATGTCCACCGTTTATTTAATTAGTCTTACAACGTAGGCAAATCATTTTTCATATTGCATATAACTGAACACAAACAAACGTAAGCGGTGCTCTATTTTTATTCCCTTGTACTGCCTTGATATGCAGGAACTGAGCTTCCAGTAGTAAATGCACGTTGATACATGTAGGCTTTGGCTCTTTGATGTTGTGTCTCACACGCACAGTCAAACATTTGCTGGTCTTGGATCGCTTATTGCTTCTTCTTCATTTTTTGTTTAGTATTTGTAAAGTTTTTCAATTGTGGAATGGTCATTTCCCAACATGATGGTCTGGAATTATGACTATGCTAGTACTTAATCCATTGACTACTGAATTCTCTCATTTCCATAGGCTTTAGTACAGGAGTCACCAGGTTCCTGTAGGCATTGGGTCAAGGCGTGCAGTGTATGCAGTGAATAGACCGGAAATTTGTGTGTTTGCAAAAATATCCTGCATGTTGATAACGAAATGCATTATGGGCCTGTTTTACGATATGCGATATGGAGAAATAAAATAAACTCAGTTGGGGTAGCAGTGGTCTCGTAATCCAGCGACCCGGGTTCGAAACCAAGTCGAAGCGCTAGTGCCCTTCGGTAAGGCATTAATCCTCATTACCAGGTCCCTCGAAGAGGACCTAAAGCCTTCGGTCCTCTGGTTGCTTACTAACAAGCATTTATGCTTTCTTAGCAGTCAGGTAAAATAACCGCCGCCACATAAAATAAACTGTATGTGTACGTACCTTTGTACTTGGTAGAGCACTATCTCTGCACCTTGGTTAGACGGTCCCCTCGGCTGATGACGGAGCACAACAACGTATATCACACTGTACCTGATTAGCATACAATGATTAATAAGACAATAAAAACACATTTAAAAGAATGATGACAACAAGAAAAACTGTAATGATAATAGAAATTTGTACCATGTCTATTAGAGTCCGCACTATTTATAAGCGCCTTTGGCAGAAATGAATTGTCGGCATACCTAAGAGTAAGTGAAATAAGTTTTTAATTCTCTAAAAAGTTTCCAGTACAACCAATACCGAGAGCTTTTCAGATTTATCTCCAAATGTACCTCTTTGAATACCGATGCTTGCAGCATGCAAATCAGCCAATTTGCTCCGTAAGGCAATTCCAGTTAGGCGAGGCGTCAAAAATATTGATACCAGCAGGCTGCCGCCTCACGTATTGGCGCATCGAGGCTGCAATTACGGCCGAAGCCTGGCTGGGGCAATTATTTTTCACTTATTAGCCCAGCCGGCTTGCGCCAGGCTGGGATCTGAGGCTCGGTTTCCATTCGAAAGGCGGCAGCCGGCGCATGCTTTTGAATGCCATTTCCTACCGCCAGCGGTAGCCGGCTGAGCTAATTTAAAAAATGCAGCCAGGACGCACAAGTGCAGTTAGCTGCCGCTGGCTGGTATATTTATTTTTTGACGCCTCGCCTTACCCATGCACACCTTCGATATCGGTCATTGTTGACAGTCCTTTGCTAGACTTGTTCTACCTAGGCAAAAGAAAAGTCTTGCCCATGATGCATGGACATTCCTTAGACACTAGTTACGAGGAAAATTCATGTTTAAACTCTCTGAGAAATTTAGCAAAAGTAGAACCAAACATGATGTCATTAATCAGCAAAGCAACCATGCATGAGTGCAATCCAAGCAATGCTGACCAACCAGAAGTTGGTTTTCCAGCACTTTTGTCCGGATATCAGCAATGACAGTTAATGTCAGCCATATTCAATAGCCTAATTTTTTTCTGATTGAAGCATAACCTGATATTACGACACAATTCTGACACATTGATTAAAGGTAATGTATTCCTTTTGCAGCCAACATCAAATTCTGTAGAAGTTTGCAGGAATCATCAATATGTCACGTATGTCCTTTCTGCGAAATTAATACGCTAGCAGTATGCAAGGAAACCTGTTTACTTTCTAGACTTCACTGTCAGACACGATTGAGTGACTGACAGGCTTTTTTGTTTGTTTTGGTAATAACATACATAACACGAGCTGTAACAGTTACAGGTACATGAACATTTATCTGCATCAAGAACTTTAACATTTCATTTTTTGAGCCTGCAAATGGGACATACACCTGTAGCACCTTTAACATGTGGATGTACATCTATAAAGACGGAATGCACTTACAAGATTGCTATCGTGACATCCCTCTCCAGTAGGCATAGTTTGGGAGGCTTGGGAATGACGGGAAGATCTACTTCAAACTTGGGCAGCTTGGTAACATTACCTGTCTGCAAACATAGAACAACGATGAAAAAAAAAAGGTAATAACTATACCATCTGTCTCTAAAGGTATTGTATTAAACACAGTAATTTTGATATAATGCAGACATATTAAAGCTCCAGATACCTGGGCACTGTAGTATAATGCAGGGTTTTTCAACCTTTTTTTTATATTCAGGGCACTCTTTTAAGAAATAATTTTTTTTTGTGTCACCCCAATCCCAAATTAATTGGCAGAAAATTTAATTTTGCATCTCTCAAACATACGTCACGTGCCAAGTACACTTGGGCACAATTGTTTCTGAACTTTGTGAGCGAGCGAAAAAGTAATGACACTTTTAATATGACAAAAATGTTACTTTACAATCAATTCCTAGAAAAAATATAGAATTAAGTGTGCAGGCACTTTGCTGCCGAGTACATGAATAAAAAAAATCATTATGTGCAGTCAATTAGTTGCAAGAATATGGAGGTATTTAGGAACTTTGCTGCCAGAAATCATAATTTTTCTAAAGGTTTTGAGCCAGTGAAGCGAGCAAGGAAGAATGATACTCTATAATCTTTAAAATACTATTCCCTCATGATATTACATACATCAAGCGGTTTCTGATATTAGTTTTTCATGAATCAACGTTATTTCAAAATAATATGATTAAAAAAATATATCAATAAAATTCTTTCGCGGCGCCCTGGTTGAAAAAAAGCTGGTATAATGTATATTACCAAAAAGTATGCAGACAAATTATTAATGTCATAAGATTTGCTCTGAACTAAAAAAAAGTCGGGTGTTGGTTGCAATCAGATTTTAGGTTAGGTTTATGATTATGGTTGGGGAAAGTATCTGTTCCATGGTTAAAGTTACAAATTCAAGTTGACCATGGAGGAATTATCGCAGAAACATGTGCCGTTTCAATATGTGAACCTACCTTAAAATGTATAGGTGTCAGTACGTTACCAAGTGTTGAGGATGAAACTAGTAGTAATGAGCTGTCATTCTGAAATAGGAAAAAGATGTAAGCAGAGCATGACAGGCAGTGCATTGCATGTACAGGGCATGCATCGTGGTACCACAGCTGAAATATCAAGTGTAATGTATTCATTTTTGTAACAGAATTTTAGGAAATTAAAATGAAAGGGGAAAACCAACAAGAATTCAAAACAAAATATAAAACATTAGTTTTTGCACAGATCCACTTTTTTTTAAAACTACAGTACATGTGTGCATACGTGTACACTATGATGTATTTTGATTAGGCAACTAGATATTGGCGCTTTATAAATACCTGGATTGGATTGGATTGAATTTTAGGAAATTAAAATGACCTACAAGATTTCAGAACAAACTACATCACACAATAAATACAAAACATTGGTTTTTGCACAGATGCACTTTAATTTTTTTCTTACAGTACATGTGTGCATACATGTAAACTATAAATGTATTGCTGTATCATACAGTCACAAACCAAAGACTCATACAAAATATCTTATTTTATACTATGACAATTATTTATTATTTCATTCTTATTAGTAGTAGCTGTCTGTGGCAAAGCGACAATGACCATCTTCACTTTTAAATAACATAATCATGAAGGCTGCTTGCAAAGTTTGGTAAGTACCGGTAGCTCTTGCAAGTTACTAACGGCACTCTCTCGGGGAACTGGTGGCAGTTTCACACCGGGGAGGACAAGCCAGGACAGGTGTGAACCACTAGACCCTGCAGTGACTGGTCGAAGGATGTCGGGAGTTCTGTATTGTCAATTGCCCTCAATGCTGTCACGGTGGCATGGTTATCTGTTAGGGTTTGTTAGGGTTAGCTCCCTTATCCTAGGATCCTAAAGAAAACCTGAACCACAAGGCAGTGGTATACAGTACACCTATGCATGGCAGCGATGCCAAACTCCCTGTTAAACTCATTCTTATTATGGTCACAATAAAATGTTTTTTGAGATTATCAACAGGATCTAAACCACCACCATACCTACCATAAATGTGAACCAGTTGATGCCAATACTGATAGTCTTCAGTGACCTCAGAGTCTTCTTCTCAGCGGTCACCTGATAAAGCTCCAACCCATGGTCTGTGATGAAGATGATCTCATTCCCACTAATCCAGTTAAAGCCGTTGATTTTGGTAGTCTTGCCCTGGTGGTGATAAAGTCAATTCCAAACATTAAAGGTTAATGCAAAGTTTTGGGAAATTTTGAAAGTTAGATGAATAGTAATTCTTTAAAATGTTGATATATTTGGATGCCCCTGTGGATGTATTATACGCACTAAAAAATTCAGCCCCTGAAACACTTCTGCTTTAAATGTCAAATATTTCAAATTGCGCCTAAGGCCATTCCATGGTACATGTAGCTGCAATCATGAACATTTCAGAATATGCAGTGCTAATATATAATTTCCAAACGGGAATAGCAAATCAGTCAATTGTAGTCAAGAAACATTTTTTTAAAGCTAAAGTAATATCAGTCTTGAGAGGGAGCTATACAACATAAAGAGTTTGTTATTTACAATTTCATCACTTTCATCACGATGTCAACCGCGACAATGATCATTGAATATTCTTAAATCAAACATTCTTCCAATATGTTCATTTGAACCGAACTCATGACTCCATACCAACACTTTGTATTACCTTTAACATTTCTAAAGAATTTCAATTTTGAATAAAGAATGTTATAGACAATTTAGTAAAAACCTAAAATGAATGAGGTACTTTTACAACAGGTGAATATCCTAGCAACCATTCATCAAATTTATGAAATATTTCATGTAGGTTTGTTACAGAATGACATACAAGGTAATTTTTGGGGTCATTCCGTTAAAAAAAAGCCATTCAAAATTCAAAATTATGAGTTTGATGAATGGTCGATCATAGGAAACTTGACTGTTGTGAAAATACTGTACCTCATACACAAAATATCATTAATCTGCATGACATCCTTGAAATGTCTATAAGATTCTTTTTTTTTAAATGGCAAATTCTTTGGAAATGCCATTCCATAATGAGTTGAATCTACTATAAACTAACAAACGACTAAGGTGGCACAACAAAATGCCCCCTGAGTAGAATGAGTAAATTTAGAAAATTATTATTTCATATGGAGCCGGAAAATAAATGTACTATCTCAACTAGGCTTAAAGTTACCTAAACTTACATTCAGATGTCACACACACACACACACACAATTCCAATTAACAGATATCATGGACATTCCGGACACATCTTTCCACGCGACTACATTTCGCTAAGCTACCCAACATTTTTAAGATCACTAGTAAATCTAGATCGTTCACTCATTGATCATTCATTATCAAGATAAAAAATAGGGCACGAGGAAGGGTATAGGCAAAAATAGCGACTGACATGTAACGATGATACTTATTGTTCATTACACATACCTTGCAAGTTTGGGAATACTCTGTAGTGTCAGCACTGCCAGAATGAAAGTTGATGAATTCCTGTTACCGGTAGACAAAAGACAATCCACTGACTTTAATATACATGTAGAAAATGCTCCAGAATATTCTTTCTTTTAATCTCAAAATCATAATTCTAAATTTAGAGAAAATCAGTCATTATTCATTAACCCGGCTTTTGATGGATACAGTTATTCTAAGGGAATTTTTAGGAATATGGTACTAGACCATCATTGTATACATTCAATTCTACCGAAGTAACATTAGCCATTAGCAAAGCATTATAATCTCTGCAAATTTAAGATTTCAGTAGAATTCATTGTCAAGCAGAATATTTCATAGGCCTATATACATGTAGAGCATGAGATCTTAGTCTAGATTAATGTTAGTGCTGTGCATATGTATGTACTGTACATTATAGCGTAAGACATATATTTATCATCATTTACTTCTCACTATTATGTCACGTTCACAAACAGTGGAATGACATTGTCTGTTTGATTACTAAGTGTGAGTAATGTCTGCTGTCTGGATTGCTTCGTTGGCTATGAGAAAAATTTGATAACAGTAATAAGAGGATCTTCAATGCCAAATTGTGAGTAATGTCTGCTGTCTGGATTGCTTCATTGGCTATGAGAAAAATTTGATAACAGAAATAAGAGGATCTTCAATGCCAAATTTTAAGTACGGGATCATTGATGTATAAGTAGTAGTCAAAGTAAACTACAGTGATTTTAGTTCTCTTACCACTGTTCTTTGTGATCTCTGTACAGCTAGAATTCGTAGATCGGCTGAGAATTTGATGGATATGACCGGACCTTTGTCTTCCATTCTGTAGAAGTAAGAAAGCAAAGAATTCTCATTACAATACTTACATACAAATTATTTGTTTGCTTTGATAAATTCCTTTTAATTTGTATGCAGCATCTGCTTTTCCTCCACCTCCACCTCCTCTTTCTCCTTTTTTTCTAAATTTTATTTGTCTTCTTCTTCTTCTTCTCTTACTCCTCCTTCTTCCCTACCTCATCCTCCTCTGTCTTTTACTCCTTTCCTCTCCTTCTATTTTTGTTCTCATTTTGGGAATTTAAAGCCTATCTGCACTTTGGCTAGGAAGGATTCACTATGAACATGACAGACAATGAAAGCGGACAAAATATACAGTTCCTCAGGTAGACAAAGGAACATCCCCTCACTGCTATTATGTAAAAATGTGTAGAACAGGTGAATATGCATGTGACACCTGTTCTACACATTTTTACATAATAGCAGTGAAGGGATGTCCCTTTGTCTACCTGAGGAACTGTATATTTTGTTCGCTTTCATCGTCTGTCATGTTCATAGTGATTATACCTCCCTGCATGGTCTCTAGCAGGTGGTTATCTCATCAAATCAGCTCTCAATTGACATAAGAAAAAGGGAACCATGGGGGATCAACAGGTACCGCTTTTAAAGGCATTCTTGGCTGTATAAAGGGTGCAAGTAGCTACAAGTAGTGGAGTCCCACTTTTAAAAAAGCAACTGATTTCAACTTTGCCAAACTCAAAATTATGGTACATGTGCTTGTATTTTTGCTGTGTACCTGAATGTTGTGCTGGTCTTTTCGTCTGTACCTTTGACGACAACTCCAAAGGCTCCACCTGATCGTACTGCAAACACCTGATCAAGCAAGAAAAGTTGAATGATTTAAAAACATTGGAAATAGTCTTACTGGATGAAATGATACAGATATTCAACCCTATAATTGGCAGTGCATTGGCATTATCTACAGTACATATACATGTATGTACAGTGGGGGTAATTGCCCGTTTGGCACATAATTTTTAATTGCCTTCAAGAAAGAAAGATTCAAGATTTACGTCAGTCTATTAATCTCACCAAGATCTACATTGTATTTACCTTGAATGTAAAATTAAATATCATTCAATGTCAACTACAGTATTAGGCCATGGGTCATTCCATGTCAAATCACCCAATGGTTTTAACCCGACCATTTTTGATTTTGATGAAACTTAGTGTACTTGTTGAGTGTGATCTCACAGCACCAAATCCCAAATTTTAGGTCAATCGGTTGAGGGGTTTGGGAGATACAGCCCACCAAATTTTGAGATTTTTTCAAAAATGGGGGTGGCGGGCCTACCTTTGAACCCTTGTATCTCGGGACCTACAGTAATGGGTCAATCTTCACAAAATTTGTATTGTTGGAAAGGGTATTCAATAAGGATTCCAAATCTGCCGCCATTTTGAAAATTTGTACATGTTGGGGTACTTTGACCTCTCGACCTAAGATTTGACCTTGAAATTGACCTTGTGGATCACGTGACCTTGACAACATTTTTCATGAAATGTAATCTCTGACATGTTCACTAAAAAATATAAAAGTTTCAGAGATATAATATTTTTGTTTAGGAGCAATAAGGATTGGAAGTATCCATACTTAGAGATATTTACAATAAACCCTATAATACATGCAATATGCACAGTACAACATACATCTTCCACATGCTTTTTTATTCTAGTCATATCCATTCTAAATGTCAGCAGTACTTGAATAGAAATAAAATGACAAGTTCATATAGGCCTAAAGGGTTAACAGGATGTATGGCTGTGCGCCATCTACACGTTCGTAATGGCGTTATCACAGTTTTTCCTTCATAATCATTTTTGCCTTCGGCGTAGACTAGAAGGGATGAGGTTGACGGCAGCGAGAGTTTAACACGGCTTGCAAGATTTTCAACATGGATGTCGATTTTGACCCATAATTTCCTTAAAAGGGACCATTAAACGGATTATTTCAATCAAGTTAGTAAGTGGAACCGATGTATTATAGCCTAGGCCTAATGTAAAATTGGATATGCACGAGGTAAAATGACATTTTGGGGGATTTTGGGGGCATAACAATACGGCCGTGGCAAGTTTGTTCATGTTTGTGGGAGGGGCCTAACGGCTAAAATCTAGCCGTGATATCTTCAACATAGGCTGGCATAGGCGATCGTTCAGTCTCTATAACCGGAGGTCTAGTGGAGCCAGACGTAGTCTCAGTGGAACAACCGACGGTATAGAGACTGAAGCTTTCGGTCTACACTCACACATGCATTGACAACAATATTACTTGTTAAAAACTACATGTACCCCAGGGGCCCGTTCCTACAAACCGTCATAAGTCTAACTTCTTGACTAAATCAGCGTTAGTGAACAACTTGTCCGCTACGTGTTTCACCAAGCCCTCTTTGCCAAGATCAACGACAACATCCTGACTAAGGAGTTATGACACCTCTGACACCGTCGTATCTCTGTCATAACTATTTAGTCGATGGGCAGCGCCATCACATGTCATTTATTGGGTAGACTATGGCTGGCAAAAAAGGACAATAAATCCTCCAACTATGATTTTTCTACACATTCACTTAAACAGTGAATTATCGTTTTTTGTATTTGATTATCTCATGAAAATATGCCATGTTTGTATTTAAGGATTTTTCCACTTAAATAAACTGATTATACGCCTTTATTTCCACATTGTAAACTCGTCGAAGGGATATGTATTTTGCCACGGCAGGCAAGCCATAGTTTGAAGTGTATTCTTTAGTTTTCAGACCCATATTAATTTCGAGATGAATTCTATTTTCAATTATGTAAAGTGAATGGTTTAAACATATGTTTTAACCTTTGAAATATTGAAGTTTTGTAATTTTTATATTGTGCTGACGCCAAAAACATTGAACACAAATTTCATTACATCGTATTTTTTCAAAGAATAATATAAGGGTGTATTTTTATAAACTATCAAATGAAAATATTCGGGGGGTGCCCATCTCAACAACAAAACTGATTCACTGGTCATGTAATAGGGTGTCTGATCGCGCACCCGATGTTGTGTGCTAAAATCTTTCCCATAGAGATTGCACACATCCCTATGTGGTCTACATGCATTGCGCGACCAAGCAAAATTGGTCAATGGTTTTATGAAAAATTTGAAATTCAAACCTTTATAACAAATGATCCTGAAGGTGAAACTCAATAAATGTGGTGTCATATGAAAGAGCAGGTTTTTCTCCATATTCCCCGTAGGGGGCCACCCCCGGAATTCTAAAAATATCTTGCTCAAAACAGCGATTTAAACATCGTTTCCATGGTAACTCGGAGATTTACCAATTTCACGAACTGCTCCCCCGAGGGATAAGTTGGGCCAGCTGTAAAGAATATATCCATGCACTTATTTTTTCTCTAGTCCCAAGGGATCATTTGTTACAACAGTTTGAAAATACCCTTGCTCCACACTTTGCATATCGTGCTGTGCATTAGCTGTGCAGCTTTTGAGCAGAAATTATAACTCTGCGTGAACCACTTTTCTGTCCATTCTGACCAAAATGCTATGAATATTGCACAATTTTTGAGGGGCTGTATCTTTTGATAGAAACATCGGTGAGTCTTGAAATTTGAAAGGTATTATTCTGATTACATTTGTTATTCCAATATCAAACAAAAATGGTGAAAAACGATCCCAAATTGAAAATTGAAAAATCGTTCAGACACCCTACATGTAATGAAAAACTCACAATTATATTTTACAAGTACTTCAATTGTTTAATCTACACAAATTTGGAAGTATATTGGATCTATTATTTCTTGGTATCATTTTCAATCTTTTTTATTACTAATTTATTTAAATAGATCTAATTGCATTTTCCCTAATATTAATTTTGTAATAATCTGGTGGTAGACCTATTGCGACTAAGGCTAATTCTCGGCTCCTCTTCTCGCCGATAATATCGATCTCACGAGATACTAGCTAGTAAGCTCTTCGTGAAACGGTTTAGAAAGATCAGAGACATCTCCGTAGTTGGTGGATAGAGTTATGACTGTCTTGTCGTTGGTTTCTAGGAACGAGCCCCTGGCCCTGGGCATTAGAATTTAACAGTTAGATCTAGATCTAGGTCTAAATAAGAATAAAAACAATTTTACAATCACGTATAGAGTCCACCCCTTTCCTTATTGAATGCCAGGCCAAACTATATGACTATGCAGTCTTTGCAGTTAAATCATATCCAAAGTTAAAATGCCCACGCCCACATAAAATCTCAACTCAACCTGAGCTGTACGCTGTGGTAGCGCACAACCACCACCATATTTCCAAGATTAGTTACCGCCATAGCTCCGGCGACATTCACAGACAACGTTCCGTACGGTTCAAGACTTTCGCAGCGTACTTACTTGTCGTTTCACTTCATCGTAAAATACGTTGGTCTGTCGACTGATAGGTTCGAATCTTATCGGATTTCCCGACAGTTCTACATAGTGTGATTGGTCTTCAGCCATTTTTGTAGAGATCCAGGAACAGATTTGCATTTGAAATTGTGAAAACGGTATCCCAGTTTCGCCACACAACTCAGATTACGGGCTCAGTGCACATGAACTTTGACCCTGAGTTGAATGAATGAATACGAATATCGCCTTATTGTGTGATCGTTTACGGGAAATATTGGGGCGTTATGGGGGGGGGGGGGGGGGGGGGGGGGGGGGGGGGGGGGGGTTAATGTGGTTTTCAACCCCATTAATTTCTTTCCTCCTACCTCTCTTCTCAAAGGCTATCATGCCCGTCTGTACTCAGCACAATGAACTAAGTAAGGATCTCTGGATAATATAGGCCACCCCTTTTATTTATTCCTTTTGAGTGTGTTTTTTTGTGACAAATAATAGTGCCAGTAGGAATTTTCCAACGCATCAGTACCATACTATATATATATATATATACACATATTGTCCGTGTGGTAACACCCGCCTTGAAAAATTAATTACTCGTGCCATCTTTGGAAACCTTAGGGTGGTTGCTTTAATTATTAGGACAGGGGGGGGGGGGGTTAATTTGGCCTGGTCGGAAAATGGCAAAGGTCATTATATTGCATAATTTCCTTGCGAGATAAATTGTAGCTAGCCTACTATACTGCAGGAACCCCTCGAATCCCCTTTAAATTAAAAAAAAAAACATCACACAAACACAAACACAAACACAAACAAAACAAAACACCCAAACCCCTAGAATTATCTTTGGTAGAACCCGGCCGCCCTCCCAATATCAACAAAGTCATTACCCGTTATCACCGACAAAAGATGATTAATATTATATTGAATTATTTCATCGCGAGATAATTTGTTATAGCTAGCCTACTCAATCATTCAATTATCCGACGTACACGGAATGAGAGTTGTCATGGTTCTACTATTACAAGCTCGCATCATTATACAAACTGGTCGTCACATATCACATAGATGACACTACATGCAGCCATACAACAATTACCATGCTCAATGGCATTCTGCAAAATTTGAATGCAACAGGCTGGAAGAACTTCACATTTGGATTATCTTTTCTTATTATGGTTTTCTGATGACGATATCTAAGTTCAGTGTTGGCTAATTAAATGACTGCCCTGCTTGACACATATTCATTTTAAGGACTGTCGTCTCGTGTGGAAGTCTGACAGGATAATTACAATATAAATGGGTAAGTTTGTATTATACATGCTAATTTTGTTGTAATGCACCATTAATTTTAATCTTCATGTCATCTGTAATGTAATTCCAACTCTCTCCACAATTTGTTTGTAGTTTTGTCGGGAGAATAACAAATATTACAAAAATATAGTAATTTAGTGTAGGTATATTTCAATGCTAAAGCCCTATTAAAGTATGTTACTGTCTAATTTTAAGGACACCTTGTAATACATTGGGAATTATATTTGCTTTTTATTTATTTGAGGCTACTTTTTTGTTAAAATAAATGCGATAGAGGGCATAACAGAAAGATTATCTAGTCGACCTCCTTCCATCGTTGGGGGGGGGGGGGGGGGGTAAACGCCAAATATAAAGTATAAAGCAACATTACACAGCTCATTGTAATTAGTCAAAATGTTACTCTTCCTCAGAAGACTAGTTTAATAATACTTCATCTGCTGATGACGTTGTTGTAGGCATACAAAATATGATAGGTATACACAACAGCTCATGTAGTATTTAAATAATAATTTAAGGCTATTCGGTGCTGATTGTAAACAAATTCCCTTTGAGAGCGGTGAGGATCATGAGGTCGGCTCGAATATCGGGAAAGGGCAGCGAGGTCGAGAAGTTTGGGAACCTTTTTTGTTAAAAAGTTTCAAGCACACACAGTCGACAGGCATATAGATATGTATTATTCTTATTGAGGCAACGATGATTTCTTTATTTGAAAAGCAAAAAGGGTGCTGGGGGAGCTCGAGAAGAACATTGTGTACTGATGATAGTAGCTCGTCTTTATTATACATTTATGGGAAATAATTCATGTGAGGCAATTAGTGAAGAATAATCCCTTTGGAATAATTTTTTTCGTGCACACAATATCCACCAAAAGCTTTTCACAAAATAGAAAGCTGGCAATTAAATTTGTGTCCATGGCCCTTTCACATAATTATCCTAATGCATTCAGTTTTGTTTTTGAGATTTGAAAGGCACCAAACCTTGATTATTGTGTTGCATGGTATTATTATCATGTGAGAATCTTTAAAATTTATAGTGAAAGAAAGACAGACGATCTCCTTGAAATTTGTATGCAATTCCTGTTAGTAAATGTAAATTATATCGTTTAAATGACTTAGGGGCATATGTCACATGTACAAGTTTTTTTTTTCTGTGAATAATGCACATGAATGTATGCGCAACGAATTTCCTTTTGAACCAATACATTTGTATTGAATTGAACATGCATGAGTCTCGGTTGCCTTGGTTACCGGTGACAACACAGCTGCCATGGTGATCACGTGACATCCCCATTATGGCCGTTTCAAGAAAGTGCTTCAGCTAGATGGCAGTGTTTTACACTGTAAACAGGATATTGCAAAAGGAGGCTCTTGGAAGAGAAAGAGAGAGAGAGAGAGAGAGAGAGAGGGGGAGGGAAAAAGAGAGAAAAAGAGAGAGAGGGAGAGGGAGAGAGGGATAGAAAGAGAGAGAGAGAGAGAGAGAGAAAGAGAGAGAGAAAGAGAGAGAGAGAAAGAGAGAAAGAAAACAAAAGTGGGGGGGGGGGGGTCCTTGATGTATGAGCTTCTTAGATTATTAAAAAGAAAAGAAAACAACAAAAATACTGGCATAAATAACAAAACAAGAAAGAAAAAGAAAAAGAAAAGAAAAGAAAAGCCATGTATTGTCATTTTAGCGACAAAAATCAGGCACCCCCCCCCCCCCCACCAATAACAATTTTGGTCCTGTTCTTGGCTTTGCCGTTATAAAATAATTTGTAAGACTATTAATGGATGCAAACCGTTCAAAATCATTATACTGAGACACCGGTATCCACCCTTACTCTTTCCTGGATTAAATGCTTTATCATGGTTTTTCGTAATCTTGTTATGATTTCGTCCAATGATAGGCCCCACTGCACTACGTATAGCTACTTGTGCCCTCTATATAGCAAACAATACCTAAGATCCCCTTTTTCTTATGATAATTGAGAGCTGATTTTATGAGATAACCACATGTCAGTGACCATGCAGGGAGGTCTAATCCCTCTTGGCCAACTAGCAATAATAATAATAATATTGGATTCTTATAATAATTGATAATTGAGAGCTGATTTAATGAGATAACCACCTGTCAGTGACCATGCAGGGAGGTCTAATCCCTCTTGGCCAATTAGTAACAATAATATTGGATTCTTATAATAATTGATAATTGAGAGCTGATTTAATGAGATAACCACCTGTCAGTGACCATGCAGGGAGGTCTAATCCCTCTTGGCCAACTAGTAATAATAATAATAATGGATTCTTATATCGACCTTGCAAGGTCCTCAAGGCGCTCCAACATTACCCGTACCCATAACATTACGTTGCTAGGCTGCCGATTTCGACGCTCACAGCATTTCAAGGAATTCCTTCCTACCGATACCAATTTAACACCTGGGTGGAGAGTGGCAAGTGTAGATCAATGTCTTGCCAAAGGACATCAGTGTCGCGGCGGGACTCGAACCGCGGACCCTGTGATTCACAGTCCGACGACTTATCCACTACGCCACAACACATCTACAGAGGGGCTTTAAAATATTCCTTGATTATCTTTCATTGGACACAGAACCTGCATATGTAGCTTCATATCAGAGTAAACAGTCATGAGCTGCTGTGGTGGTCAAAACCGTGTTCGACCCTTTAACGTAAGTAACATATAATACCAATGATTGTTATATAATTCATTATCTATTTCTTTTTATAAAATTCGATTCTTTATGTTCCTTTCAACTAGGCTTTTATGCCTCTAGAATTTTCCATTTCTCTTTTCTTTTGTTAATTAAGATATAAACCTGTTAATAGACTATTCTTGTGGAAGAGGATATAATCACATTAAATTACCAAGGCTAATTTGTTACGAGCGTAAGTGCAATAATGAAACTTTTTAATCTGTCAAAAAAGGTAAAAGTTCGTATGATATTCCACTGATAATCAACACGCCATTTTTGACCTGCCTTGATGTAACTAGATCACAACGCGCTTTTATGAGCATGCGCGCTGCATAACGTAATGTCTTTGTTACGTCACACGCGTCATTCATCATTGTCAGTGATTGCGCCTGCGCAGAAAATACACGTCTCGAAGCAACAATAAGTTGTTAGATTTCGTTAGAATAAAATTCAAACAATCCTTAAACGCATAAGTAACACAAATAAAATCAAATAACAAACAAGCAAATAAACACAAGAAGTTACAAATGCTAGAAGAAAAAAATTCCATTTAAAATGGGCGCTGTATTGGAAGTAGAATCGGGCGAACCCGAAACTAAGCCGGAACCTGAGAAGAATTCGAAACAAAAGCAAACTGATGGGGCAGGTCCCTCGCGTAAGAAAGTAAGTATAAATAAGTATTTTCAATATCATAGCTAGTCAGTTCGGTCATAGCTTAGATCTTCTTGAAATTATTCACGTCCATGTACGTCCTCGACCAAAACGCAATAATAAGTTGTTTTCATTAACAATTTTGTGTTATGTCATAAAATGCCTTCTCTTAATTTTTCTCCTCCTGCATTCCTTAATTTGTTTTATTATTTTACTTTGTTTCTACCTTTCCTGTCTCTTATTTTCTTATAATTGCTGACTTGGTCCAGTGACGCCTCTCAGCTAGCCCAAGAATTTAATTACATGGTGTGAAAAGGCTATTGGTGTTATGCGCTACATAATAGGAAAAATTACCTGAATTTATTATCTTTTAATCCATACAAAAATCGCAAGGGACCAGGGAATGGTTTTATTATTGTGCTAGGCACCTATTGGTCTCAGGTTATCAGCCAATAACCAATGCCCATGTTATAACTAGTTTGTTTGTCTGTTTACCCGACTGCTAAAAACACGGTTATAACTCATCTCCGAGGGACTTGGTAATGAGGATTGATGCATTACCAAACGGCAGCGTATCGACTTGGTTTCGATCCCGGGACCTCCAGGTTCCGAGACCGCTGATCTACCACTTGAGCCATTATAATAATCGTCTGCCTTTCCATGTGCATAATTTTAACCCTCACTACTTAGTATGATTCCCATTTTTTTTCCTTCATAGGATGGACCGGTCCAAGTCGAGGATGACTTCAACGGACCGCTGTCGGAGAGGAGTTGCCGTGATATCCCATGTCTCATTATCTTCCTCGCATTCCTCGGTGGCATGGTATGTATGATAATGACGATAACGGCGTCGACGACGACGAAGACGATTGCAACGGCTTTGTTATTTGTTCGAATCGTTGCTTATTACATATTAAGAAATAAAATAAAAATCGCCCACTGAACCGTTATCAGGTGCTGGATGTATGAAATGATTACAAAAAGATTCACTTATGCACATCGAAAGTGCATATTACGCACCTTAGGGCCCGAATACACAAAGGAGATTTGTCGACAAACCTAGGTTTATGTGCGGCATAATTAGACGCGTTTCAGACCAAGGTTTGTCTGAACCTTTGGTCTGAAACGCATCGAATACTTCAGAATACGGGCCTTTGTGTGTGAGTGCGTGTATGTGTGCGTGTGGGGTGGGGGTGGAAGGGTGTCCTTTTCTCCTTCTTCTTCTTCTTCTGTTTCTTCTTCTTTTCATTTCTTTCCTTTTCCTTCCTTTTTTTAATCCTCATCATTATCTTCTTCTCCTGCTTCCTATTCCTTCTTTCTTACTTTCTTTCTTTCTTTCATTTTACGATGCATGCGAGCTGTATTATTATGATTGTGTATTAACGGAGTCGTATGGAGATGAATTAATGACAAACCCACAATAATTAAGGTTCAAAAGCTGCAAATACCAACCGTAAACGACATTTTTGTATTATATTTTGTTGTTGGTATGTGACACGTATCATTTATTGCTATCTCTTTCTTTATATTAAAATCTCTCTCTCTCTCTCTCTCTCTCCCCCACCTCTCTCTCTCTCTCTCTCCCACTTCTCTCTCTCTCTCTCTCTCTCTCTCTCTACCCCCTCCCCATTCCCCTTTTCCCCTCCCCTCACTCCCGCATCCTGCAGGGATACGTCACCTACCTCGCTCTTCGGGACGGGAATCCCGACAGGTTGATTTACGGAGATGACAGCTATGGCAACATCTGCGGCAAGAAGAACAATCCAATCGAGAACGTTTCACTCTCTGGGAGAGACATGACCGATAAACCGTGAGTACATGAATCATACATTCAGTGGCATATTAAGAACGAAGAGGGCACGGGGAAGGGGGTTGGGTTTTTTTTTCTCTCTCTCTCTCTCTCTCTCTCTTTCTTTATTTCTCTCTCTCTCTCTCTCTCTCTCTCTCTCTCTCTCTCTTTCTTTATTTCTCTCTCTCTCTCTCGAAAGCTAACGTTGGCAAACAATATTCAACTTCAATCCTTTTTCATAAAACTTGTTAACAATAACAAGGTACGATAACTGTTACAAGCTACTGAAATCCTTACATTTGATTGTCTACGAGCAGATTTGTCATAGGTCTGTGCTAGATGTTATTGATCAAAAGTTTTATAAAACGTGCCCCAGGACCATAAACAGAACAGATTCAGGTTTCTGAATGAAAAGTAGTTAGAACCTTGCGTACAGTATTTATTAAACATCACACCCGCAAGGGTAAGAAACAAGATGCCTCATTGATATTGGTCAAGCCTGCCTCCCACCCCCCCCCCCCAACCCCTCTCTCGTCATCTCAGCATTCTGTGAAATTATCCATCACTAGGTTTCTATACAACCATGTCTTGTTCTCTTTAAACAACACAGCTACGTATTTTTCTTCGACGATGTCGCCATGTCGAAACTCAAACCCACTTCCAAGCGTCTCTGCGTGTCCCGGTGCAACAACGAAACGGTGTTTACCCGCGGGGGTCTGCGAGACCTGGCCGTCAACAATATCACCAGGCTATGCACGTACGATGTCGACGTCGATGATTACGTACACGCAACGCAGGGAGGGATGGGCGAGTGTCCACAAACACCCATCGCTGCAAGGTGAGAAAATAATACAATCATACTGATGCAATGTTGGTCCAATCATGACGGTGATAAATATTGGTAAAACAAACTACGGTCAAATCTGCTTTAGTGACCACCTGTATAGAAAAAACACCTGGCTACAAAGACCACATTTTTTTTTTTTCCCTTGGAAATGGTTGCTCATTATATGAAACATGTACCAAAGGAACCTGTTCATAAAGACCACCTGCCTATAAAGACCAATTTTCTTGTCTCCCTTGGGTGATCTAGAGGTTTAACTGTACTACATAATGATACAGGATAATCGAATATAACAACTTATATAGCTCAGTCTGTATAACTATAAGGACAGACTGAGCTAGGGGAGAGTCGAAAGGGACGCAGGGACCCCTCCCCCTTGAGACAGAACAAAAATTATGTTGCTCCTATATACCACCCCTCCAGCTCAACGCCCGCTAACGGCGTTGGAGAGGGCTGACACGACTTTTTCGTTTTGTCGAATGGAACAAAAGAAAACGAAACGAAACGAAATTGAACGAAACGAAACGAACCAAAACAAAATGGAAATCAAAGACAAAAACTAACAAAACAAAACGAAACAAATACAGAACGTTGAATTGAGTAGGTTTATTTTGCGTGATTTTGAGGCTCGTACATTTCACAATGTTTACAACAATAACGTTTAACAGCAATAACACTTGTATTTCCAATACTCACCCCCCCCCCCCCCCCCCCCCCCCCCCCCCCCCCCCCCTGTTCCCCTGCAGGAAGCCCATCCTATTTCGATGTGTTCGAGCTGACGTCATCGGCGTTGCATCATCATTGCTGCAGAATGACATCTTTCAGGTAAACGATTTTCAAGAGCAAGATTTAATTATTTGGTTATTATTGTATTTATTTATTGCAACCAAAAATTAAAGTTGGATTTCAAATAGAAAAACAAATATAAACATATCGATAACAATGGTAAACAAAATAGTCTACACAGAGTCAAAGAAACTATCGATTCTGATACATAAATATATCTGTAAAGCGCTCAGAGATGGTCAATCCAGATTGTTATCATAATTATTATTATAAATTATGAATAACAATGTTCTAAAATTAAATAATGACACAAAATATTTTGCAGACACAGACTCGTATTTAGCACACTACCACAAGTCATAAAGCCTGGCTTGAGCATAGCTTATATAGGCCAAAATAATAAGCAGCTAAAGTATAGAGCATATAATATGCTTTATACCGTAAGCATATTCTTACAATGCAGACACTCAACATTACGCAGAACGACTGGCAAGGGTTTTGGCCTGCAATCTGGATTTCACTTGCATCCAGTTAGATTTATTGACAGATGCCCCCCCCCCCCGCCCCCCTTAATAAAAAAAAGTATGCACAGGTAATAATTATGATATTCATTTTTGTTTGTTTGTTTGTTTTTATCTTAATGCAGAGTGCCCTAGCGGACATCGAAAAGTCTTGGAGAGAGATTGTGTACCTCTGCCTCATCGCATTTGGTGAGACAAATGTAGATTTGTCATAATCCTTTTTCTCTGTGATTGCTATCCTTCTTTCGAAATGACGTAGTGTCGTAGTCGAATGGTTTAATCCCTCGACACCCCCCCCCCTTAACCTAGATTGGCATTTACCTCTTTGATTACTCCCCCCTGCACTGAATTTAATGTTATAAATTTATTACGGTTATTAAACTTTTAGTTCTGAAACCCTCTCTCTCTCTATCTCTCTCTCTCTCTCTCTCTCTCTCTATCTCTCTCTCTCTCTCTTCTCTTTCTCTTACTACATCCCACCCCCCCTCTCTCTCTCCCTCTCTGTCTGTCCCTCTGTCGCTCTCTCTCTATATCTCTCCCGCGTCCCCCCTCCTCCTCCCCCCTCTCTCTCTCTCTCTCCTTCCCTTTCTATATCTCAACTCTCTCTCCAGGTCTTTCCATCACCGTGGTCATCGCCCTTCGCTTCCTGGCCGCCTACATCATATGGTCGATGGTGTTCGGGTTCATCCTCGGGAGCATGGGAGGATCGGGCTTCCTCTGGTACATGTGGTACATAGCTAGAGCAGCACTTCGAGAAACGCCAGCAGAATGTAAATCGAAAATCCAGTTTTTGTTTTGTGTTGTTGTTGTTGTTGCTGTTGCTTAGTTAACTTTAAATAACCAAGACTTGTAACCAACTGAAATGAATAAAATAATTCTTACAGTAATTTGAATTTGCGGAAATACTATGTAGAAATGTGTTATTTTACAAGTAAGATATACGAGCTCACAGGTATATTCATTCTTCTAAATAACGATAATTATGTAGACACATGTATTTGATCTTATTGTATTCTATCGGATGCATTTTTGTTATCGTACAGCAATCAACTGTAAAAGAATACAGCTTATAATTACCTGACAAAAAGAAACAACAGTAAACACACACACAAATTACATGCACAAAAAGGTGCTAATTTACTATATATTTTCATTATATGGGCCTACTTGAAGATTTTTTTCATGTAAAATATAATTGGATGAAACCGGAATACCTATATTACATACCATATTCTGTATTTTTCATTCTTTTCCCAAACTTGGTGTCTGAAATAGTGCAACTTGCACAGGACAAAAGCAACTTGAAGACCACGTTGATATATGCAAGCGTTGCAACCACGGTTACAGTAAGTATAATAACAATGATTTATGATTTTGTCTTTATTGATACCGATTGTTAAATCTGTCTCCCTGTTTATATTTGACTCAGACTCATCCACTTCCGCACGCTCTCCCCCTCTCCCACCCCCCCCCCCCCCCCCACTCCGAAATACCGAAATATTACATATATTCTAATTAACTGAAATTTGATTGACATTCTGTTTGCCATAATTTATAAAATGCCAGCTTTTATTTTCTGCTACAGTCAATTTTTTTCATCAGGGTAATCGGTGGGGGGGGGGGGGGGGGGGGGGGTGAGGAGGCTCGGAATAAATTACATGCATGTGCACTTTTAAAAAAAAAAGCATTCTGGCTATTACACCTACTGTTTCTCTGTTTCGCCTGTTATATAAACAATGACAAAATTTAAACCTCTTTGAAATGACGCTTTGATTCCTCCTCTACATTATTGACTTCTTTTCGTTTGCCAGGCCATCTTATTATTGATTCTCCTCGTCATGTTTAAACGGATTGCTCTGGTGGTGACTCTGTTCAAGGAAGCTGGAAAGGCGATTGGTGCTATGCCATTTTTACTCACACAACCTCTCTGGGTAAGAAGTTGTAATGTATTATTTCATTTAAAGATATTGGTTGCAAATGATCGTGTTAAAGGTAATACAAAGTTTTGATATGGGGTCATGAATTTGGTTCAAATGAACATATTGGAAGCATATACGATCCTACAATATTCTGTGATCGTTGTCGCGGTCGAAATCGACTCTAAAGTTATGAAATTGTAAATGATAAACACTTTATGCTGAATAGCTCCCTCTCAAGGTCAAGATATTAATTAAGCTATAAAACAATGTGTATCGACTAAAATTGACTGATTAGCTATTCTCGTTCGGAAATTATATACCACAACTACATACTCTGAGATTTTCATGGTCGCATCTACCATTGTACGGCCGTAGGAGCTATTTGAAATTTATCAAAATTTACCGGGAGCACCGGTAAACCTTTATATTCAATTTTTCTCGAAAGCAGAAGTGTTTTAGGGGCTAAAATTTATGGTGTTTTTAATACATCCACAGAGGCATCCAAATATATTAAAATTGTAAAGAATCACTATCCACCCATTTTTCAAAATTTCCCAAAACTTTGTAATACCTTTAAGATTGTGATAAAAGGGTGTCACCAAGGACGAACGAGGCGTATCGTGCGCTGGGCTTAGTGGTGCAGTGGCCTCGCAACTGATAGATTCCGGGTTCGAAACCAAGTCGATGCGCATGAGCTGGATGGGGAATAATTGAGCCTCTACTCCCTTGAAAAGCTTTTTCGATCGTTAGAAAATTTCTACGGACACGCCTCTTACTCCCACCAGCCCTATTGTACAAATGGTCTAGTAGGCCGGGCCTGATCGTGAGCCCTTTGTTGTAATTTTTCATCTTTCTCTGCATGGTATGCATAAATGAATACAGTGGCGGCTCCAGGATTCCCTTGAGGAGTTTACAGGTACAATGTCCCATTACAGGCCAAAAACAATAAAAAGGCTAAATTCCAACGGCATTTGGAAGATATTACTAATTTAGAACTTCCCTCAAAACAAAAGGGCTTGCAAATGTCTTTGAGTGGGAAAATAATGAGCAATAGCTGTCGAATCGACTTTAGAGATTGCAATCATTTTAGTAATAGTCTGATTTTCAGACCCTTGTACCGAATGGTCGTACGTTTTGTGCTGCGCAAAAATTCAATCAGTTTAAATTTGGCCATTACAAGAAGTGGGTTATTAATGTATACAAATGACCATAATATACCCTTACAGCTCATTAATGTATGTTATTACCAAAGAAGATGTCTGGAAAATGGCGATACGTTCTCACATTTTGATGTCAAGGAATTTAGCGGACATTAATATCCAATCTTACCTTTCTTGAACACAGACAAGTCTATTTCTCTTATCCTTCTGTGCTGCCTGGGTATACATCTATCTCTACATCGCTACTGCTGGTCACCCCAAAGCTACACCAGACGGTCTTGTGGAGTATGTTAAAGATTCATTCTCAAAGGTAAACAGGAGATATTTCTTTAATTTTCCTCTCTTTTTTCAGTTGTTTTCTTTATATCATATATGTAGGCCTACCGCCTGGGCGTTATGCATGCATGATAACACACGTTTATCTTTTGATTTTGTCTTTTGTAGTTTTCGTTTGACAAGTAAACAGAACAATAACAAACACACAATAACACATTTCTGACCAACCGGCTCTAATTGGATCCAGGGTTTCTTAGGGGGGAGGGCCGAATTTGAAATCAATTTGAAATTTAGTGTTTAATTCATGCCGGCCGATATTTTGTCCATTGGGAGTGGGGGGGGGGGGGGGGGGGGGTGTAGTGAGCACTATTTTTATCTTCTTTTTTGCCCCCGGTAATTTGAAAATCGCGCCGGTGTGGTAGGCGATTTGTTCCGGGTTCCGCGGAACAAATCGGCGCGCCGATTTGTTCCTCGGAACGAATCTACTGGATCGACTCGTTCGCAGATACGTTCGAAAGCCGCCGTTCTTATCCGACATTGGCCGAACGTTTATGCTTATATAATCGCGTATATTTTTATTACTTGTGTCGAATAAACATGGTAAAAATAAATTTTAGCTTTATCTTGATACTTTTGTATTTATTGTTGCAATGAAAACCAATATTATTTTTTTGAAATATTACTTAATAGTAAGGTTTATAACCTCGTACGGAATTACCCGCGCGCGGTACGAAAAATAAATAAATAACCTACTGACTAAACCCTAACTAGATCTAGGCCAAGCTAGATTCTAGGCCTAAGTCACTGCGTGGCGTACTGATTGGGGGGGGGGGGGGGAAGTTGACCCAAATAACATTCAAAACGTGGTTTATTTCTTATTCGATACCAGTGATTTACAAATGAAGAGCTTGATTCCAAAAGAAGCTAAATCCATATTTTGTTAAAATTGAGTTAGACCTAGATCTAGATCTAGACCTAGAGTCTATCTGTCTTAAAATAATGATTTCCTACTTGGGGACAAAATGCACTAGACCCTAGTCTAGTCTAGACCTAGTAGAAACACATTCGAAAATTTCAGCAGGAATTATGAACAAATTTAGATAGAGTCTACAATAGATCTATCATGTTTCATTCCAAAAGGAGCTAAATCCAAATTGGTTTCATTCCAAAAGGAGCTAGAAGTCTAAATCCACTTTGGGTAATTCTGAGTAGACTTTAGACCTCTAGGATCTAGATCTAGATCTAAATCACCTTTTTATTTAGGCCTAGATCTATCCACTTTCCCTTAAGCCATGCACCTTCATGTTGTTATTGGTCTAAATCTATATGTTAAAGGTGTCGCCCTGGACCAATAATATACATCTAGACCTAGGTCTAGATCTAGATCTATGATAAGAAAAATAATTAGAGTCTAGGTCTAGGGTCTAAAGTTGTTTCTGATTTTTACTAAATTTTAGATTTTGTGGATTTAGCTCCTTTTGGAATGAAACATGGATGGATGAAACAAATTATGCCAGAGACGGCATTCCCAGTGGGGGGGGGGGGGGGGGGGGGGGGTGGCAATTTGTCTTTGCCCTCTACTTTTTTAGGTACCCCCAAAGTGTCCTTTTCCTCTCTTTTCATCTCTGATAACAGATGAGTAGATCTAGTCTAGAGAGTCTACCTCTTTTCAGGTGCAAGAATTTCACCTCTGATATTTTTGCCCTTTTTTTATACTGACTCGTGCCCCTTTTCCTTTTTAATAAGTGCAATTTTTCTTTTCTCTTTGTCTTAAATGCCACTTTAACCTCTGATAAGTGCCTCTTTTATTGTGACCCCTTTGCCTTTGACAAGTGCCCCTTTTTCTTTTTTATATGAGCCCCTCCCCTTTTCAAAATGCCCCTTTTAATATCTGATAACTGCCCCTATTAAAATTCTGATAGGTGCCCTTTTCATTCAAAATATTCCCTTTACTTGAGGAATTTTCTTTCTCTACTTTTCTTCTTTTTTTTTTTTATTGGTCCTTCTTAATTATCAGCTCGACCACTCATTTCTTTTTTGTTGACCCCGGCCCCCCCCCCCCCATCCCACCCCGCATCTCTTTCATTTAAACTACATGTACATCATGCATGCAGCCCACATGCATAATTAGATTCTGTGATGAAGCCCGGTAATAGGTGGTTGACGTAACACGATATCATATAAAGCAGCATTCAAACCAAATTTGAAGGCCTGATTAGAAAACACCCCGACATCTGCTTTTACAGGCAAACTAAGCCTATGGCAACAACTGCCCTTTTTGCTAGACCACCCAGTCCCCGTCGCTTCGCGACGGAGCTGTCTATAGTTACTGTTTGTGGTCAATCATTGGCCGCAATTATCAACATATTTGAACAACGGGAATCTGCATTTCTATACAAAGTTCTCAAATTGGCAATCGTTGGTGTAGCTAATTTGGAGAAGTTTGATTGGTTGCAAAGGCCGACCAGAATAGTTCATTTTGCTTTAGGGGTGTACCATGGCGTGTATTCAATAATACGTGAGCACGCACGCTCTCCGATGAGATTTGGAACGGATCGGCGGCTAAATATCCCGCCGATTGGTTCCACGGAATGAATCGCCTGGCCGGAACCGATCGCCTGTGACTAGCGGAACGAATCTACGAATCCGGAACAAATCGGCGGGTACATATCCAGGCGATCGGTTCCGGAGGAACCGATCGCCTGCACGGAACAAATCGCCTATGACACCGGCGGATATTTCGCTCAACCCCCCCCCCCCTAGAGCCCCCCAAAAAGGTAAATTTCTGGTCACAATTTTCTTTTTAAAACTACTTTTGTGGGGCCTGTCTTTTTTCTTTCTTTTTGGCCAGGGGGGGGGGGGGGGGGCGGGGCGAGCCCCCCCCCCCTGGATCCGCGCCTGATTAAAACAATAAGCCGGTTTATACGTTGTCTGTAAAAAAAAAAAAAAGATCCAGAGGCTGTGCAAATGAGAGCCCTACCCCATATAGAGTCATAATATCTTTAATAATATTGACTTTTTCTTCTTTTACAAGCCACTTTGTTGAATCAGGTGTTTCAGTTACCTTATGTTTGCATCTATATCAATTAGTTTTTAAGTTGCAACATTTTCTATATTGCATCAGTCATCTTTTCGTACATCCACTAGGGAATTCTATTAAGTTTCCCCTCGGAATTCAAGCAAGGCTTGTTGGTCTAGTGGCATGATTCTCGCTTTGGGTGCGAGAGGCCCCGGGTTCGATTCCCGGACAAGCCCCGTGTATTTTTTTCTTAATTAATGTCGGAAATGAGAAAATATTTTTGTCTATTCTGTGTCAATCACTACTGCTGTCAATAACCAATAAACCAGTTTTATTACTATTTGAAACATGTGATTTATGTATTACAAAGATATATGCCAATAGTTTTCATGTTCATGAAAGGTTAAAGATACATTTTCATGTCAATTGAAATACATTTATATAAATAAAATTATTTATAGTGGAGTCCCTGGTACCGAAATGATATGAAAATTTTATACCCACCCCCCGAACATAACAAACTTAAAATAGTGCAAAGTGCATAATAACATTTTGCTTTTATAGAAGTCTGGATCCTATATTAACCATCAAAATCTACTGAGCAAACGAACGAACTTGTTGTTCTAGTTCTGGTTGGTTTGCACAAGCAAAAGAAGGGCTTGTCCGGGAGTCGAACCCGGGACCTCTCGCACCCGAAGCGAGAATCATACCACTAGACCAACAAGCCATGATTTTTGTTTACTCAAACACCAAACAAATCATTCTTCTATGAGGGACAATACAGAAGTATAGCGGGCTTTCAAAAAAAATATCTTAGGGCTTGTCCGGGAATCGAACCCGGGGCCTCTCGCACCCAAAGCGAGAATCATGCCACTAGACCAACAAGCCTTTGATGCAAAACAAATATGAATTAAAATTTATATTAAAGCTTACATGTTTATCCTGTTTTATGAATGCACTTTGTGTTTGCATAACGCATTGCACATACTGTACATATATCATTATCGACAGTGGGGGGAGGGAAGTGGGGGGGGGGGGGGGGGGCCGCAAGGGACATCCCTTTCCACAAGTGCCGCCCGTGCAACATTTTAAACAAATTCAATGAAATTGATCCTACAGGAGTTCAAGTAAACATTTGTTTTCCAAAGTAGAAAAATTAAACATTATGGAAATGTCGTACACGGCGTGTTTTTGATTTGGCCCGTATTTTTCCCCTTCTTTTTGGGGCCAGGGGGGCAGGGGGGGGGGGGGGGGACAAGGCCTAATCGGACCCACTGGATCCCCGCCTGGTCATACGTGCACCATAAGCATATCGTTATCCCTTTACAGACTCTTATTTCTTGAAAATAGAAAGATGGTGTCAATCGTGAACCGTGTCTGTTCCTTGAAAATATTTTGAAGTCTCTCCGTAAACTCTGAATTTAACTAATAATTTAATGAATGAATTCAACAAATAATTTGTTGACATAAAATTAAAAGCCTCTACTCATGACAACATTAAAGATCGGTAGGTCTGTCCCTTTCTTGAAGTTCTTTATTTATTGCCTCTCCCTGCTCCCCCAACCTTTTCTGGGAAGTCACGGTTTCAAAAAGACTAAATCGACTTTAAGTTGGACTTCACTACTATGGCTGACTGTACATGCCACTGTTTGCTCTCATCATTATGATCTTTAGATAATGTTTTTTCCTTCAATGATGGATTATCAAAAATGTAAATTTTGTACATTCGTGACCATATGTGTACGCCCCTCGAGAAACCAATGCCAGTGAATGGTGAGAGCAAACAGTGGCATGAACGGCCTGCCATATTTAAATCCAACTTAAAGTCGATCTTATTCTATGTGAAACACTCCCCTGGTATGTTGTATTGACTATTAATATGTTGTCATTCTATTAATTCCCTTTTTTATTGCATCATCTTTTGTTTTAAAATTTCCACTTACAGTACATGGGCTGGTACTACATCTTCGGCCTACTGTGGGTGACCCAATTCATACTGGCCTGTCAGGAATGCACCATAGCTGGCGCTATTGCAGAATGGTTTTTCGCCCGAGACAAGAGCCTGCTCAGTACGCCCATTTTGAAATCGATATACAGGATTATCAGGTAAAAAGTGAAATATGAAATAAAATCATTTTTTTAAATTTCAAATTACAAGGAAAGACGTGGCTGGAGCCCATCCTTTTGTTGCGAGGGGAAAAAGTATTCCTAGCACTTGTGGAGATGGAAATAAAAGAAAACTTTTTCTTACGTAATGCCCCCCCCCCTTGCCCCGACGTCATTATGATTTCTAGTTAAATTCTAGAAACCCCCTTCCTCCTGCAGATTCTCTTGGGTTAGGGGGGGGGGGTAGGATGGAGATAAATTAACGGTCTAAATTATTCGTGAACATACCGTGGGTGTCATGAACCTACATCTATAATCATAATTGACTTACAAGTGCTGCTTGAAAATGTACTATAACTACAAAAATTGCCAACAAAATTATCACATTGAAAATAGCCTTAGGGCATAAACCTTATAGGGAGATATTAACTTGAACAACAGCTTTTAAGATTAACAATGTGAGTGAATATTGTGTATATTTTTACTATCAAAATATTAATTCGTCTCTTTGTCATTCAGATACCATCTTGGCTCCCTTGCCTTCGGGTCTCTCCTCATCGCCATCATCATGTTCATCCGTATTGTCCTCGGTTACATCCAATCAAAGTAAGTACGGAATATGAATCCATGAATCATTCTCCTTTTAATTTGGAACATTTGATTTTACTTTTGACAGGGAGGACCGACCCGGATCTCTAAGAAATGTGGGTTTTGGTTTGGGTTTGGGTTCAGGCTTGGGTTTTGGTTTTGGTTTTGGTTTTGGTTTTGGTTTTTGGTTTCGGTTTTGGTGTTGGTTTTGGCCGAATTGCAGGCATTCGTAAAGATTAACGTTTTATATACAGGAGTGTATATCACACACACAATTTTATTGTACCACATTGTATTTATCACCGGATAGATATACCAAATATTTCAAGATTTCAAACTTATTTAACGATTTCCAGCTGAAAATGAATGTAAACATGTGTTAATGAGGGTTGTTATGGAGCTTATCTAAACTTGAAATCGTGCAGAGAGGCGAAGTGTGAAGTTCTCACGAATTCGTTCAACTACACCTCAATGCTATCAGATGATCTTTATAATATTTAGTTGAATTCTTACGTTTTTTTCCCTAATTCATTTTTCTCAGACTCAAAGGAGCTAAGTCAGCACCGGCTCAGTACTGTCTGAAATGCATGCAGTGCATCCTCTGGTTGTTCGAGAAAGTTCTAAGATACATCAACAGGAACGCATACATCGAAATTGGTATGTCTAATTCCAAAGATGGATGTTGAATCTAAATCTCGTTAGGAAGTTGCCTCTATATAATTGAACCATTTCGTAGTAGTGATTATGCAATGCTTATGTGAATTTCTTTATCAGAAGAGCCAATAACCTAATCATTTCGAAGATTTCAATACTGAATTGTAGATCAATTATGCGTCTTGTAAGAAAATTCTGAAATGCCCATTGTACTCTTATTCATTGGCGGCGGAATAAGGGCCGGCGATCGCATCCTCTTTATTTTATACCAATAAAGAGAATGCAATGATTAAAAAAATATTTTAAAAAAAAAGTTTTTAATCATGCTTATATTTTGTGAAACAGAATATCGATGAACCATGTGAGTGAAGAATTCTAGTAAAAAACAACTATATTAGGCTTCAATAGGCAACTCAATTGTCTGAGCGTTGTCGTAAAAGGACAAAATTAGACGATGAACTTACAGTTGTGTATTCTAGACGTACATGTATATAATTATCAACAAATTTGGTCCGACAACATTCGCTCCGTGATTCACAATTATCTAGCGACTCTCCCGTCTCTGTCAGAAATAAATGTGAATTTCGTTGTACTATTTTGGGGCCAGAGTACTACTGGCTGCATGCATATATTATATTGTACAAAGCTTTGTTGGCAACAATTCTTTCTCTCTCTGTTGAACAATCCAGCTATCTATGGATACAATTTCTGCAAGGCGGCACAGAAGGCCTTTTCTGTGCTTGTTTCAAACGCTCTTCGCGTGGCCGCTATCAACTCCGTGGGCGATTTCCTTCTCCTTCTTGGCAAATTCGCCGTCACGGCTTGCGTCGTCGTCATAGGGCTCCAGCTTCTACAAGTAAGTATTTTTTAGGAAATTTTAATAACATTTATTTGGAGGGGGAGGGGGTGCGTGAATGGTGTTGTAGGGGTGTGTTATAAGCTCTTTGGAAGCGCAAAGAGACGTTATATAATTTAATATGAGCTATACAAGTACCGAGTATCATTGTTATTATTATTATTATAACCCTTCCCATTCAACACCATCAATTGTTTTCTGTTTGCAAATTTTGTATTTATTTTTTATTTTTTAATGCAACCAGTGAAACCAGTTTTGGCAAATCGAAAAAATTGAAGAAACTCTTTTTCCTGCATGTTTGAAAAAGTTGTCGCTTATTGGTCTACCGACCCCTCATTGAAAATTTTCTAACAACACCTTTGATTTCATAGCGATATTGGTTTTTAATAATGACAATAACGACAATTCAAAGCGAAGGGATATGTTTAGGTTTTTTCGTTTTATCCCTCTTCTTCCAAAGAGTACATTTCAATATCTGACACCTGTAAATGTTGCCTAAAATTATGTTCTACTGTCAGTAGCTAGCCAGACCTCTTGATCAGGTGTTCATCTGTGAACAGCGCCATTGGGTCATCATCATAATTACTTCGAGCTATAAATTCAAAATAAGATTGACAGGATTCATTTCGCTTGTCTATTTTTTTTCTTGCGATATTGTTATTTTTTTATTTCGTTCAAATCAATTCTTAAATAAACCCAATGGGTTTGTTATTGTAAAGCCAAAATCCACCAAAATATTTGAACTTCATATGCTTTGAAACCACGTGTCTTTATTTGCTTTGTAACCATGGTAACAGGATAGAGAGGATCTCAACTGTTACGCCATCCCCATCGCATTGGCCGGCGTCTGCGCGTTCTTTATCAGTCACGTCTTTCTACTAGTTTATGAGGTAAGAAATATTCAACGCATCAACGGTCATCACAAAAAAAACTTGTTACCCTATCTAAGGGCAATGTAAAAAATAAACAGGGTTCCGTCTTACAAAGAGTTACGACTGATCCAAATCAATCGTAAGTCTGCCAATCAATCGCAAGTTTGCAGTCTCCTATCTCGTATATGGACATAATTGACATTGAAAACAATCGTAAATAACTTGACATTGATAACAATCGTAAATAGCTTGCAATTGATATCAACTCTTTATAGGACGGGGCCCAGATCTGGTAAACTTTAGGACCCATAATCTTTCGGATATATTCATTCCTTACAACTTCTACCACTGAAACGCCCCGATATGTTCCCCTTAATTCCACGACGTAGCAAACTCCACAACTGAGAATCGATGTTCAATATTAAAGAACAAAAAGTGGGAAAAGGGTTATAAATTAACTTCCCCTATATGCTTGTTTAAATACATTTAAAAAAAACTCATATTTACGTTCGGATTTTCACTAGAAATGCTCTTTTCTAGAGCGGCCGATATTTAGAACCGATATAGGATAGGCACAAATTACTATACGTGTGTTTCCATCATGTTTCTCTTTTTGCTTTGAAATTCAGCCTTGCGTTTCAAATGTCACTCTAAATACTCACTTCATGAGCAACTCCGGTAAAAATTTCGATTCGGCATTGCAGAACGGCATCATGTTTTTAAGGCACCAAAATACTCTTGAATGTCTTTTTAAATATTCGAATGGTGTTATTAAACATAAATAGCATGTTCATTGTCAGCTTGTTTGTTCGTTGTTTTTAATCAAAACGTTTGTTGATCATCCTTCCCTCTAGATGGCGATTGATACGCTCTTCCTGTGTTTCTGTGAAGATAGTGAACGCAATGATGGCGTCCAGAAACCTTACTTCATGAGCAAGCAACTTATGGTAACTATCACAGCTTTGCTAATATGCTGATTAAGTGGTCATGTCTATACACGAGTCCAATTTTGCTAGAGATATACTCAAATCTGTCGTTATATAGTGGCCACCTCTCTAAAGGCCACCTGTCTTTATCGTGTCTATTCCCCTTTGGTAATTGTTTCAATTGCGCATGGAAATCACTTAAAGACGACAGCGCATCATGATTGAACTGAAATCCGAATCTTAAATTTCTTGAAATATATATATTAGCTTTACAATGTTCCTTGTGTAAGTGCATAAGGATAAAGTTATCAGCTGCCTGCTATAAGGGCGTAATAGTTATGAATTTAATACTACTGTCAATGGTACTGATGACCAGTAAAGATAAGCCAATCTTGATTTCTTACCGACAAAACACTTATAAAATTATATTGAACTGAATCCATTTTTTTTTTTTAATTCTCTTGCAGACTTTTGTGGAAAACGCCAAGAAAGCACAGGCCATCAGTAAAGACGCCAAAGATGCGGCCAAAGAAGCGCGGGTATGAAGAATACCCAATTAATATCCCAAATGCCAAAACACAGAACTTTATAATACCAATCTCATTTACATTTTGAGCTGTCATAATTAAATCATATCTTTTTGGTAGTTTCAACATTCTGAGATATTTATCGAGTTTATAAAAGTATTTGAATAAACTGTACCACTGAAACTGATTAAAGAAGTACCTGAAAAATATCATGTTGTTTGTTGCAAACTTTTGTTTTTATTGTTACATTGTTATATTAGAAAGAAAACATAAATGCAATGTTTTAGTAATGTACAAAATAGATGACAGAACAATATTCGAAATGTACCAATAAAAGATCATTTTAGATACTGTGAAAATACAAGTGAACTATTTAGGGAAATCGATACTGATTGCATACAAATGTTTTTTCTGTGTACTTTTGTTTCCCTTAACTATACATATGTTATGTTTCTCTTGAATACAGACACATTATGCAATACATGCATATAACATCAAAATGTTCATTTCCGTCCATTAAAAAAAGTAATTATTGCTATACATGCAGATAATAATTTCAGTTGTATTTAAAGAAATATCTAAATATCATTGTCTTTAAGGACTTCGACAAAGATGACTCTTGATGTGTAGCCATTATCAAACGATCGTGTAACATATACCCAAAATATATACACATTTTATTAATAGCAATATTTCCACCTGACGAATTAATTTCCTTGTCGGAATCTTTATCGAAATAGCAACAACAGAAGGAGACATGCAATGAAAAGAAATTCGTAAATTTCCATCACCAAAACAAATTTAACACTTCATGAAATATGTATTCATAATGTAAATTGGTACATAATACGTTGGTGATAAATACTCGAATATTGATATTTGTAACAGTATTACTGATTCAAGTATTTTGGGCATGGTTTCACGAAACCGTCATAAGTATAATTTCCACACCATCTGATCGAAACGACCGTTTTACAATTATCACGTAATCAAATGTCGGTGAACTTGTACTTAATGAAGGTTTCCATGCTTTCGTAAAACGGTGCCCTGGTTGGGTTCCGTCTTATAAATAGGGGCAATTGGTTAAAAACAGATAGCAACTCGATATTAATCAAAACTCTCTAATACTAAGATACGAGTTTGAAAACTGGCAATCAATAAGCCAGTTCATAGTTGCAAACTGAGCATGAGCTGATAGAGACAAAATAGACAAAATACTTGATACGTGCTCACGAAATTTATGTTATCATTATTCATGTATGCACAAGCAGTGCACTCCATAATACGCAGGTGGAATTAGTCGTAAGTCTTTGAACAGGGGAAACAAAGGCTGTTTATGTAGCACTTCTATAGGAGTGATTATGTCAAAATGTACAAAGTGGGACCTATTTATGTATTGAAGTTGTGTGGATATTCGAGGTCGTTTGGTACATGTGCTAACCGTTAACTAGTCTATTTAGATTAATCGCATTTCTATAATTAATACAGGACCCTGGTGATTATTTACACTGGGATGATTTACATAACAAAAGTCGAAATTGTAGACATTATTTATTACGGCATATATTCGACAGAGCAGGTTGAGTTTTGGTTTTATATTTTGTGTGCTTTCTCCTTCGTATTTCCGTTTGGAAGAATGAGAAGAAAAAATGACCCTGAAAAGAATGGTGTAGAAAATTTAACATTATATTACCCCTTCATTTGATCCGTATTAGGTACCGTCTAAATCATTGTGCTATTCTACAGAATGCATTGTTGTCTGTGAAAAACGTATTATTTTATGCAGTGCTCATTTTGTAATTCTTCTGTATTGTGGAATATTCGAAAGATTTTGAGAGCGTGATATTATTAAAACGTTCCATGGTAAAAAAAAATGTAAATGCTTTCTTTATGTCGTGAATCATGGAGTACGTACCTTTGACCAATACCACTTTTATACAATCAATGGTAGTAATTTAACACGGTGTTCTGTATGATACCACACCATGCAGTATTTTCTGCCCTGCCGTCGTGCTCATCAGGAAAAAAAACATCAATTTTAGAACTGTCTTGCTGGTGATTAACTTAAAGAGTAAAAAAGATTGATCAAATCGATCTGAGAAGGTATACAATTTATCATGAATAAACCATATTTTTTTATCATGAAACGAGGTGATAACAAATTATTTTAATTTAATCGCCAACAGGGTAAATTAGACTTTACAAACCCACACACCTGTCTAAAGATTCATAACAAAAGTACTGATGGCTCAGTCAGTAGAGCGTCCGCCTCAAAACCGGGAGGTCGTGGGCTCGAACCCCGGCCGCGTCATACCAAAAGACGTTAAAATACGAGAGTTGCTGCTACCTTGTTTGGCGTTCAACAATAGGGAATAGAGCAACGTCGATCTGGCGCTGCTCAGTGACTGCCGGGCTCACGATTGATTGGGCAAAAAGAATTTCCATTTTCGGTTTAAATTAATAAAATCTGGAGTGGACTTTAAAAGATTATTATTATTATTATTATTAAATTAAATACATGGCACGGACTTAACAAACACATTCACACCATATCATCCACCCTCACGCACCCCTTTCCCACAGTCACAGCCCACATACGTCAAAGTATTAACTCTTATCCTGCAACAGGGCTAATCCCCATTGTGCCAAGCCACAAATCCCCAGTGCCAAGTTTATAACGAGATAATCGGATTAACGCGATGGTAGGTAGTACCATCGCGTTAACGTTTAACCGTCCGGTATCCGACCGCCCATGGCGGATTCCGTTTTCAATTGGACGGTTTCGTTTTCCCGTTTTTTTTTTTTTTTTTTTTTTTTTTTAATAATTTTTTTTTTTTTTTTAATTTTTTTTAATTTATTTTTTTAAATATTTTTTTTAAAGTTTCGATTTATGCCCCTCCACCTGGCACTATGCCTGGCAATGTCTCCCAGCTCAGTAATCGGTGTGATGACTTACCACTTGGAAACTAGAACAACACTCCAATTTGTCTGTCATCTTGGTTTGAAAGTAATCTTTGTAATAGATCTCAATATATATTCATCCAAGTTTAACACATGGTGTACCACAAGGTACTATCCTAGGTCCTCTACTGTTTTTAATTTACTTTAATGATCTTACACATTATTCTAAAACGACATTGTTACTATTATTTGTGACTAGTTCACAAGCCCAAATCGGCGCCTTCAGTTAAATCACCTTCCTGCTTTTTCACACGGCCAAAAAAAAAAAAAAAAAAAAAAAAAAACTTTTTTTTTTTTTTTTTTTTTTAAATAAATCGTTTAACCGAAAACCGTCCGGTTTTGACAGGCGGTTAAACGGAATTGGAGATATCCGTGATGTTACAGCACTAGTACTACCAATAGCGCGTACAAAGCACTAGGCACAGTCCAATGAGCATGACAATAACTGCTATTACGAATGCGTGCAAACACGCAAGAAGCAGAGGAGCAGTAGCTTGCTCGCGTGTACAAAACACTATAACATTAGCGTGCATGCAGCCTTATGACAGGCTATGAGTTAACAAATCGTAAAGATTACATGAACGCTTCGGAGAGGTCATATTCTGGATCGTCAACATCAGGTACATTTGCTTCAGCAGGGTTATCCAGGGTAGCATACACAGGATCAGAAGGTGTGGTCTTTGGACCTTGTGAATCCTGGGCTCGGTGAGTAACAGGGACCGTCTGATTTGATGCGCCAGAACCCTCTAGATCGAGCCTTCCGTATCCGTCATCTGGGATTTCTGGTAAGGATGCACCCGCCTTTGGACGTTTGCTAAGAGGGCGCTGCAGATGTTGATACGCTTCACTGCCTTCTTCAGATTCCTTTATACCGACATCTTGGGTAGCTATTTCATTATACACGTTGCGAGCATCGTCATGATCAGCCTCTTCTTTCGCCTTCTTATCGACTTTTGATGCTGTCGGGGATGTGGCTGTTTGCTTCCTTGGGTCAGGTCCTCGTTGTAGTATGTCGTAGGGCCTCTCTAGTTCTGAAGTCATAGCGACGGGGTCTTCATAAGTGTGTGACATATTGGAGTCTCTTTTATCAGGTGTTTGTTGCTGCCTGGTCATCTCGGAGTTGTCGAGTGGGCGATGTAACTGTTCCCCTGGGCCTGCGTCCAGAGAGCCAATTGTTTTGTTATCGCTAAATGGACTTTATTTGTGTCCAATTGCCTAAAACCCCCGAGCTTCCGGGGGCTCTGCCCCCTGGACCCCACCAAGGGCCCTAAGGCGGGTCCCTGAATGCTCATCTGACCGTAATTAAATGCCTAAAACCTCAGAGCTTACGGGGGCTCTGCCCCCGGACCTCACCAAGGACCCTAAGGCGGTCCCCTGTATATGCTCATCTGACCGTTATTAAATACCCAAATCCCCCGAGCTTTCGGGGACTCTGCCCCCTGGACCCCACCAAGGGCCCTAAGGCGTGGCCCTGGATGCTCATCTGACGGAAAATAAATGCCTAAAACCCCAGAGCTTACGGGGGCTCTGCCTCCTCACCCCACCAAGGGCCCTAAGGCGGTCCCCTGTTCGCTCATCTGACCGTTATTAAATACCTAAAACCCCTGAGCTTCAGGGGGCTCTGCCCCCTGGACCCCACCAAGGGCCCTAAGGTGGGGCCCTGAATGCTCATCTAACCGTAATTAAATGCATAAAACCCCAGAGCTTACGGGGGATCCGCCCCTGGACCCCACCAAGGGCCATAAAGCGTTCCCCTGTATGCTTATATGACTGTTATTAAATACCTAAAAACCCCGAGCTTCCGGGGGCTCTGCTCCCTGGACGCCAGTTAGTAGCCTTCTAGTGTGACGAATAAGGTATCTAAATATGATTTTCTGACCATAATTTTAATGCCTAAAACCCCTGAGCTTCTGGGGGCTCAGCCCCTGACCCCCTGCCGGGGCTCAGACCCTGGAGCCCACTCCAATTTACGCTCTACCTGATCGTTAATAAACTTTGAAAAATGTTCCGCGGAGCCTGCATTTAACGTGTAAGAGTGGTGGTGATGCATATTTTTTTCTGCCCCCCCCCTTCCAAACGTTTTTGCACGTTACGACACTGCCCCTGGAAGGTGAGCCCCCTGGAATGTTTGCCACCCCAATCCCAAACTGCTTCCGGCGCGCCTGCACCAACACTTACTGATTTACAATCATTTGCATAATATATGAAAAGGAGTGCCGATAAAACACACCCATGAGGAGAACCAGTATTCAGAATAATTTTTACATTCTATTTCGCAGTG